TGATTGGGGCATTCGCAAATTGATTTCTGCCATCAGCCTTTGCCAATCGCTCACCATTTGGTTGGAGAATACACATTTTTCCCTTGTAACATTTTGAGCCAATATGGTAGTAGTCACATGACTGCTAAACCTCAATAAGGATTCTGTCACTTTTGAGATCCACCCTCAACTTGCCACTTGAGGAACTGACACTTTCTCTATCCATCCATTTATCCATCTATTTTATCAGCAGGTCTTTTCAGAACTGTAAAAAAAAAGTATTTTGTATCTGTAGGTATGGAGAATAGAAGTGGCGTGAAGGTGAAAAGGGGTGATGTTTACAGGTTGTGTCGCTTATGATATTTCAAATGTACCTGGTGTAAACAGGCAAAATGGTAATGACCTTTAGGTGGTAAAAGACATTTTTGCCTCAGCTAGAGTAGCAGTGGGCTGGATGCTGTGGGTGGACAGTGCAAACACAATCTCTGTGCAACACTGTCTGCCTCTGTAGCAGTGTGTGCAGTCCAAACGTGAAAATGAATCTCTTGACATCAAATAAAAGGGCAGCTCTGAGAGAGTGCTATCCTTTCTTTTAAGTTTTCTTCTGATAAAATCCTAATTAACTTCAATCCTGGGCGACAAGTAAGCACAAAGCGAAGGGAACAGAGACTTGGCAATTTATGGAAAGGTGACATGCACTCACATGTACTGCTGCACACATCTGTCCTCCTGTCAGGACAATTCTTGAGCATATACAGCAGACCGAGAGGTAGTGCTACTTTGATGAATAGTGCAGCAGCATCCGGCAGACTCCAAATAGAAAATGTGAGTAGAGCATAACCCCTCGCATGTGGATTTGATCAAATTCAGTCTTGGCAAATGACTGTGCTCCTCCGTTCTTCTTCTGCTGCTCAAAACATACACACAAAAACACCACATAAAGAGTAGAAAATGCTTAACTGAAAATCTGTATTCTAACTCACGCTCAGATTTAAGGCAGAGGCACGATGAATTAATATGAGGACAGAAAACTTGGTCCCTTGTCACCTCCGGCATATTGCGGTCTCAAGCATATCAGGGTGCCCCAGCTGTGACCATGTAGTCTTATCATTTTAGAGACGTGTAACACTTTCTGCACTCCTTTTCTTTTCCCTGCCAACTGAAAAAGCAATTCAAATGCATCTTGTCACCAGTGGTAGCTTTCCTTTCTCATCCACTATCCAGAGGAAACAAAAATCAATCAGTGTTCTTTAAGGACATCGAGCGAAATCACGGATGTTCGTGGTCCTGATTGGAAGATGAGAAGAAATACTTTGCTTTTTATTGTTTTCATGTCTTGGATAATTACGTTTTTCAGTCGGTAGTCTTTTTCCTAGCAAAGATACTGCTCTTTAATAAAAGAAGAAAAACGTTCTTCTTTGTGAAACCTTAAATACGAGTGGGAGAGCACTGCTCACAGTGAGTCATGTTCATCATATAAAGAAAACTAACCTGCTCTGGTCAATGTGTCATATTTACCTCACACTACTTTAGACATCCATGGGAATCTTGTCTTATTGAATAAAAAGGTGGGGGAGAGGGGAAAAAAGACCTTTGCCTATAAAGCTGAGTCGCTTTTGAATCAACATTGCCCTTTGTGAGTCAGGGATTAGAGCAATGAAGACGAGTAGGGATCTAGTTGAAAAAATGACTTCATGTCTGCAGAAGCGAGGTGATAAGCTGTTGTCAGTCAACAAAACAGCCAGCTGTGCTTTGCATAATGAACAGAGGAAGTGCTGGTATGGTTTGTTACTCCTTCAATAGATTTTTATTTAACACAGTTACTGCAGGTGACATTAACAAGGCTGCAACTACTGAACCTGGTCATGCTTTCCCAGACTGTGTATGCTAAAGTACCAATTTTACACACTCGTAATAGTCCAATGACTGAAAGATAAGGTAATTGGAAACCCATTAAAAAATGGGAAACGCCATGTGTGAATATAATGTGTACATGTACTGTACACTTGGGGAAAAGAAAGTACACCCATTTTAAATTCTAAGCTTCTACAAATCAGGGCATAAAAAATTAGCAAAATTACACCAAATTGCAGAATCAATGTGAAAAACTAAGTAGATCCTTACTGCCTCCACCTGGTTTAAGAGGGTACGTTGATTAACTGATCAGCAGCGAGTGTGAGTGTCTCTATTATAGTAGGAGTTTTGATAGTTTGCTGGTCTGAAGCATTCAGGTGTGCATCAGCATTGATCTTACAGAAGAAACTGTTGTGTGCATCAATATGGGAAGGTTTAAAAGGCCATTTCTAAACAAATATGATGTTCATCTTTCTGCAGTGTGGAAGACTTTTTACAATTGGAAAATATTTAAAATAGCTGCCAATCTTCCCAGGAGTGGAGGTCCCAGCAAATTCACCCCATGGTGAGACCATGCAATGCTCAAAGAAACTGCAAAAAACCCAAGAGATGCATTTCAGACTGTTACAATTCATGATAGTGCAATTAGATTAAAGCTGAACAAATATGGCTGGTTTGGAAGGACTACCAGGAGAAAGCTTCTTCTTTCCAAAAAGAACATGGCAACACGGGTTAGGCCTGGTAAAATTGTGTCTGAACAAAACAACCAGACTTCTGTCTTTGGATGTATGACAGACAAGAAGTGAAGATGTTTGATCATAATGTGCAGAGCTACTTCAGGACAGTGATCTCCAGCGCAGCAGCAAATCTACAGCTAAATGTCTGAAAAAGATAAGAATCCAGATGTTTCAATGGGTCACTGCCAATGCTCAATGAACAACTGCTCCTGAACCTCCATGAACTGATGCAATGTTTTAAAGAAGACTGGGACAAAATTCCTCCACAACATGTGAGAGACGGAGTCATACAGTAAACAATCAAATTATTGCTGCTAAAGGCAAGCTACTGAATCACAGGGTGCACTTAGTATTTCCACACGCTGCTTCTGCAGTTAGGTTTCATTTGTGTTAAATAAATAATTTCATCATGTATGTGTAATTGTTCATCTGACGTTGTAGTTAAGTGATGTTAGGCCATGATAAAAACCAGATGATTTATAAAACCTCAGGACTGAAAAAAGAATGCATTTCTTTTTTTGGATGACTGTATATGGATGAAACCTATACACGTCTCAACGGCTGCTGTGGCCTTTACAGATACTTACTATGAATGAGAGTTACATGCACCACATTCAGTTTAATCTAGTAACATTTTCTAATCATTTCCACCACCACAGACATGTGCTGCAATTAAACCAATCCAGCACAGTCATCATTTATGTAGCCCGCAGAGCTGTAATCACAACGTAATCACAGCCTGCATAAACGCTGTTGACTTTTTACTGATTTACTAAATTGCTACACCTTTTCTGCTTAAAGATTCTCCACTGCTTCTTAAAAAGCCGTGCTATTATGAATGAGGAGCAGCCTCACGGGTCCATACTGATGTGCTGGGAACTTATAGATTTACCTGAAGTGCATTTTCTTTAATCCCTGTGGTTAATTGAAAGCGTGACAGCACTTTGCTCTTTACACATGGTGCCTGCAAGCCATGGTCTGGTGAGACAGTGTCTGCAATTACGTGACTAATTATAGCATCAGTTCAAGCTGCAGGTGAATTAGTGCTTGATGGCTTCTCTAAAATGTGCGAAAAGCATTTTGCTTTAAAATGGCAAATTGCAACAGGTGCTGCTCGCCAAAGCTGTCTTTACACAGCGTCAACCAAAACATTGAGGGTCATTTATTTAGAAATGAAGCTCCAAAATTTAAAGCACATTGCAAATAGAGTTCTGCTTTTAAATGATTGTGGCAGCATCACTTCCTCTCTGATTCTGGATATCATACTCAGCAGTGCAAGCAACAGCAGCTGCAGATGAAAGAGAATTTAGTCCTTCTTGGTGAAAACTCTTATAGCACAGTGCCCCCTTCAGGTACTGAAGGGGGTAAATTGCACCCAATCAGAAAGAATGACTAAATCTCTCCCGTTGTGACACCAAGGCTGGAAAGGAAAACAAAAGAGAGAGAGAAAAAAAATTCATCACATGTTCTTCCCTAGAAATCCTGAAAAATCCTGAAAAAAGCCATTCCTGTAGTTAGGAATAGCTTTTTAAAGGAAGGTAGAAGAGGCCTTTCCGTCTCTTTACAGACCTCATTTTTTCTGAGCAGTCAAGCGTTCCTTTTATTTGTGAGCCTCAGTGCGTGCACACAAACACATGCACACACACAGTTATATGATTCTCCATGTCAAAACCTTCCCAAACCACAGGTTGTGGCTGTTGCTTTGGAGGAAAAAGACGGGGATACATATTATTCAGGGTTTCAGATTTCTCAGGCACTCGGCGCCATTCAGGCTGTGTTTGTTTTCTAAGCATTAGGATTAAAATCTCTCTCCCAGAAGAGCGCCAAGAAAAATCTAAAAAGGGAATCTAAGAATTTGAGATGTGCACCTCCGGGGGCTGTTTGTGCTTCACCTCAAGAAGACAGAGCCAATTTATGCTCAGTCCAGCTTATTTCCATACAGTATATTGCTTGAATTGGGCTTATTTCCATTTGGTCGCGGGCGGGGTGTAGGGTGGGTGAGGACAATTTCTTCCCCTGCAGATTAAATACATTTGGAAGCTCCTTCTTGTATGAATATTCCTTGTATATTTATGCAGTAGAGATAAAATGACAGAATACATTGAGAAAATAGACAATCAAAGTATAATCAAATGTAATGCATGCACTGAATAAAATATGCATGACAAATTGGCTTTGGAGAACACAGAGCAGGCAGGTCCTCTGAACCTTAGCACAAAAGCTCATTGAAATTCCTTTCATTATGACCGTGGAGCTACAGCGAAACAGAAAATGAGAGGGACAGACAGAGAAAGATGAGTATAATGATTTCTGATTATAGAGGCAGAAGAGTCCTTGCATCCCACTGTACCCAGGAATATCATTACAGTATTATGCAATTTAACAGATGGAGAACAAAAAAAAAAAAAAAAGAACGACGTAACACGTGGGGAGCATTTAGTTATTTTTATTTACATTGTTATGTTTGCCTAATCAGTGTGACGCATATTCTTTACATAGAAACCTGCTTATGTGTGCAATACTCCATCACTGAAAACTTGAGACAAATGCAAATGACATTTTGCAGTATTTTAGTAATCTTAATTACAAATAAAAAGGCACATAGACATGATACCAATACCTTGGCTGACACAGATTTTTATAACACAATAGTTGGTGGGAAAAGAAGCGTGAAAATGAGGAGGATGATCCTGCAGGATTTTCTCTCAGTATCTAAGCAAAGTTTAGAAACAAAAAGGACTTTCATCTGGAATCTGGTAGACAGTTAATAGCTCGACTAGTTTTGTGGCTAAAACGTTTAAAAACTCCGGCGCATGCAGAACCCTTACACTCTGTACAATTGTGCTGCTTAATAGGATATAAACACAAAAGCTGATAACTACTTTGCAAGCGTCCCTCCCTTAATCACACACTGTAAAAACAAATATGATTCTCATCAAGGTATCGCCTGGGGTTTTAACAGAATCATAAACAGCGATACGATCCCAACCAAGTGTCCCGGTTAATTGCAATGGCTTCAATGTTCACTTTAAAATTCAAGGGTTGTTGTCGGAAGTAGTCTCTTCATCAATCTGCTGGAGTACAGTCACGTCACATAGATGTTGGTTGACCAGCTAAAAGAAGAGGGGAAAAAAGCGACCGATTATGGGAGGAAGGCGAGAACAACACCACCCACTGATGATCAGCTCGAGAAAGTACTCACTTTTGACTCGCATGTAGCAGGAGTTACAGTAGAGCTGCTTGTTTCGTATTCTGACTTCAGCCCCGGCTTCTGATCCTCCAAGGTCAGACTTACAGTCGATGCACTGAGGAAATTTGGGAAGGAGAAGAATTGAGGAATGAATCAGTAAACGTGACCAAAGGAGGAGTGATGAGGACAGACAAATCTAGACCGTGATTCTGTGTATTAAAGGAGAAGGATGAGAATCAAGAGATGAAGGCTGACACAGTGGATTAACTTTCAGATAAAGGTCACCGCAGCTCCCAGAAGAAACAACAACAACTAGATTAGACTGCTGATAAAAAAAAAAGCAAAGGGAATAGTTGATCTTGCAGGATTTAGTTTCTTTTTCTCAATAAAGGGATCAGGGGATTGACATTCACCAGGATTCACCAGGTTAGTAAAACAAACTAAAGAGCCTGAGGCGATCAAGTTAGTTTTTGAGGATCGGCGGCCGATGTGCTCCGCGGCTGACCGGAGTCCAGCTCTCACCTTAAAGCAACCCAAATGATAACAGAGCCCAAGGGACTCGATGATCATGGCTGCTCCCTTTCCCAGCGGGGTTTCACAGAACGTACAGATTTTCTTTCCACTCACTGACCTGAATTACAGAACGCACAGCTGTCATTTCAGAGCCAAGCACACATACATGACACATGTATGAATGCACACATATATGCACATACACACATACAAAACACACGCCAACACTGGTTCAAACCAGGGTTAGACAGACGGACACTTTGGCAAGCTGGCAAATGTTAACCTGTTGAAACAGCACTGCTGAAATGACAAAGGCTCATTAAAACAGTGTCATTTAGTGTCACACGCAAAATACTGTTTATGGCAACAAAAATGACACGAGGGAAACACTTGTGAATTTTCATAAAGGTTGGGAAACTCGGGTGTTAGGAAGTGAACAAGCTTCTTTAAGATAACCTTCAGGCAACCTTTGGACTTTCTTTGTCTCTCAGGTGTTTGGACATGATCACTGACAAACTTTCGTGTAATCCACAAAAACATGGCTAAACTTAAACTAGCATCTGCTGTATTCCACACATAAGTTAAAGTGAATTATGCTACTGTGTGATCTATAAAAAAGCACATCAAAAGAAACATTACATCATAAAAGGAGTGACATAAAGGAAAAAGAGAAATACCCTTTGCCACCACTTTTGCACGGCTGAGTAGCAACGCCTTAAATACCGCAACCCAGATGTACCAGTGAGTTGTTAGAGGCAGCATTAAGCAAAGCTTCATTTCTGGTTTTACCTGCTGTGCTGCTGAGGAGCGTCTGCCTCAGCCGTGGGTTCTGGAGAGTTGATGGGTGAAGGAGAAGAGGGTGAAGGTGAAGGGGAAGGCGACTGCCTGGACCAAGGGACCAAATGGGATCCTGCCCCACTTCGGAGTGAGCCCATGGAATAGGAAGAAGGCAGAGTGGAAGTGGAACCATACCGCTGAGCCCGCGGCCCCCCACCATAAAAGGATGTGCTGCCAGAAAGGGCAGAGTGAGGCCGAAAGTAGTTTTGGGCAAAAGAACCGCTTCGGGGTTTCGATGACGAACGCCAGGAGTTGTATGAGGTGTCCAAGTTGTCAAGAGAATCGCCTCTGCAAAGCCAACCCAAGCCACACCCCATGTTAGCCAGTTAGAAAAAGCAGTCGAACCTTCTGACTGACAACTTAACTTTTACACCCAACTCAAAAAAACAGGACAGTAGTAACAGAAAAGAGCCAACCGCCACCATCGCACCAAAGTTAATGAGGTATTACTGTACCTGCGCATAGGTGGCAGGTCCCTCTCCTTGTTGGTGGAAGTGTCGGGAGAACGTTGGCGGATCCAGCTGTTGTCCGTCAGCAATGACGTCTTCTTTTTCATCTCATTGAGGATCTGCTGCCGCTCCAGCTCAGCCTGAGATGCAGGCTGCTGGTCCTTCTTCTCAGCGGCTCCACTTGAGGTCACTGCCAGGTGGGAGGACAGACAGAGGAAACATTATCGATGGAAAAAAAAAAATCATGACTGGTGATCGGCGGAGGAACAAAATGAATAGTCGTGGGGCAGACAGAATTAGATGAGGATGATATAAGTATCTGTTTTCCACAGTCTGGCTTGATGAGACAAGATATGACTAAATTATGGATGAAAAAGTCATTGATCTGAAAGAAAACATGCTGTAATCAATAAGTTAAATTGCTTTTGCTGCATGTCATTTTCTGGCCACATGGCTGATTGGTTCGTCATTTGTCTGGTCAGCTGCAAATCAAACATCTGTAGGTTTAGAGTTAGAGTTAACGAAATGTCTCGATTGACTGATCGGCTGATCGTAACGGGAGTTTCACATTAAAACGACGAGAAACGGCGCTTTAGGGGGCTAAAATCCACCTCTCTCCGGCTCTCTGTATCTCATGGCATGGAGGATGTTCCTGCGCTCCAGCTCCAGCTCAGATGCAGCCTTCTGACTTTGGTAAACTCTGTCATGTGCCTTCTTCAGCTGCTCTTCCAGCAGCCGCTGAGCCATGCCCCCCGGGGGTACATGCACACCTACAGCAGGGTACAACCCACACAGGTATACATCTGTGCAACAAAATGTGTACGTGGAGTCATTTAAAACACCCTCTCCCACCTCCACAACCACCACAACACACACACACAAAGCCCCTAATGAATTAAGAAGGCTGACCTTTTCTCTGAGGTCTGTCCTCTTCGTCGAGCTGAGGGGATGATTTGGATTTTGTCCTGTCGAACAAAATTCAAAACATACATGAACAACACTACTTTTCAGTTCTAGCAGATGTTTCACTTTTGTGTACAAGTGTGAGGGAATTCATGTCTTTTTGTATGGATCATAGTTATATGTCAGATGGTATAATATAGAAGGCGATAAGTGTCACAGCATGTCAGCTGGTAATGTAGCATTCATCTTAAAACTTTGTGTATTTTTCCTTTTTCCCCTCCGACTCCTGCACTCTCTGCCTCCCCTCTACCTTGTATCCCCTTTGACCTTCTTTCCCGCTTCCCACAAATCCTATAATAATAAATACAGTATAAATAATTAAATGGTTCCATTTGTGTGGGCGTTCAGGAATGCAGGATTACAGTTCTCGCTTTATGAGAAGCAGAACAGACACATTGCAAATGATTTAACAAATGAGTTCACAGATTACAGATTATATAGATTCTTTCTTTAGTTGCTAGATGTTTGATTTTGTTGCATGCACTGCTTGACTTCAAATCCCCCACGAGGTCAAATCTGTGCTTGTTTTTATTCCTGGTCCTTAATGACTAGTTTATTCCATCCTTGGTAAGAATCCTGGTGGATTTACATTTGTCCTTAGGATCACTATCCTGTTTGAATGTCCCCACTCAGGTTCAGCTTCAGTTTTAGGGACATATGCCCTCACATTATCTTCAACCACTCTAATATGACTGTGGCTACACAACTCTGCCTTTGATTTGTCTCTGCAGTGCAACATTTAGCTGTTCACTGGGAAACTGTGAATTTTGTACCAATTTCCTTTCTGCACAGCAAAGTTTTTTTCCTCTCATATCTCTGATACAAGTTTAATACGAGCACCAGTTGTAAATATTTTCTTTAAAATATTTTAACTGTTTGGTTAATTTGAAGATAAACTCTCAAAGGCACCCGTTTTCTTTTTTTAAATAAAGGCCTCAGAAGGATCACACAACACTAGCCACTAAAAGTCTGTCAATCATTTAAAAGGACTGAACCTCTTCTAATTTTATGGATTTAATTTTGTTATAAATGTAGCGGTTTGATTACTTTCTCCATATCATCTTTCCGTACTGTTTCGGAAAGGACAAAATGTTTGCTGGTCTAACAATGTAAAAATCTAGAGCTGAAAATGATTTGGGGCTAATTACCCAATAATGACAACTGTAAATAATCTACTTTGTAAAGGTTTCTAATCAAACTATATTGTTGTTGTAAGAAGAAGCATTTGTTTTGTGCATATAAAACTGCATAAATATGTACATACTTTATTGTATGTTTATTCTATTTGTATATTTATAGGCATGTTTCATTATAATTTGGTATAGCTTATACCAAATTATAATGGGGGGTTACGCTCATGAGTTCCACAGACTGTTGTTAAATCCAATCCAATATAATCTGTCTTAATTAATTATGCGTGTATGCATCTCATGCATGCTAAATAAGGATAGTCAACTAAGTATTCAACACATCAAACTGCAGTTATTGTAGAGCAATGATATCAAAAGCATGTTGCAGAGAAAGCATGGTTAACAGGTTATAAACAGGAAGAGGTCCAGCTGCTCTCGCTCTCTCGTACTAACCTGTCTGCATAGGTGAGTGAAGGCTGGGCATAAGGAAAGCCGTGGGAGCTAGTGGCCCTTTGGTGAAAGGCATTGTGTGCAGAGAGGTGGGATGATGAGTACCACACAAAGGAGGGATAAAGCACATGCAAACACATTAGTTGCACATGTTAATGCACAGACAGTAAAGCTGGTTAAATGTGTTATTATCAGCATGATGGTGAGTCAAGGAATACAAAAGACATGTGAGTTTGAGTATTCAGGGCAGCACAGGATTAGGAGTGGCTCTACTGACCACTGCTGCTGCTGCTCAAAGGCTCTCTCCTTCTCTCTGCGCTGCAGCTCTTCTGCCTCCAGCAACCTCCTCTCGTCCTCCCTTCTCTTCCTTTCCTCCTGCTCCTGCCTTTCCTTCCTCATCCTCTGCTCCTGGAGACGCAGCAGTTCTCGCTCCTCCTCTTCCCTCTTCCTCTTCTCCTCTGCCTGCCTTTGGCGCTCCTGCTCCTCCTTCCTCTTTCGCTCTTCTTCTTCCCACAGTAGAGATGTGGGCTGGTTGACGGGAGATAGTGGTGAGTGTGGGCCGGTGCTGCTGTTGCTGTGGTTGTTCACCTCCAGGCTCCCAAGCTACCAGAGACAAGAGACGAAAAGGGACGAGAAGAGGAAGCTTTTTGAGCACCAAGTAATTTAATCTTAATTAGCATCCAGGAGGAACTGCGACAACGATGGAGAAACTCCTCACATCCCCCGAGGTGGCGAGGTTTTAGAAATTATATTGTAGAGGGGAGTTTTTGTTGCAAACCTATTAGTTGGAAAGATTTCAGCCACTGCAGTAAATATATGTACTATGTGAGCATTCACATGACTAGACACTGCTCTGCTCTCCCTTTCCATTTCTAAAGGGTCACATACAAGAGAGCGTGCCCACATACTCCATGCATAATTATAGCAATTTTAGATCAAAGCTCTTTGGATACATTTAGATAAATTAGTGCCATGAGTCACAACTTACTGCCACCATTAAATACTCTCCAGCTGATTTATCAGCTCATAATTAATACAAAACAAAACACTTTTGTTACCGGTTTGGGGACCGTGCTTGTAGAAAGTGCCTGCTGAGCCTTGAGCCACTCTTCCTGCAGCTTTTCCTGATCACGCTTATATTTCTCCTAAAAAAAAAAAAAAATGAAGGTGAGGTCAAAGGTCATCTCATTTAATCCAGTCAGACATACAAAGCTCTTTCTAAAACAACACATGAAACTTCTATTCATTATAGATTCCATATGTAATTTTAAAACAGAATAATTAGGTATTGTGGCTGTTATATTGTTCAGATGATTTCTCAGCTCACTTACGTGTTATCTAACTATTCTACACATTCTAGGGAAACCTGCCCAGAGCAGGAAGTCCTGCTGGAAGATCATGAAATCAGGCTGCTTAACCAACAGGGAACAAGCCTGCCAGCATTAAAAATCCTTCCCGGCTGCAACGGCACTCTGCATAACCACCTTTGATCTCCATCCAGAAATAGGCCCCCAGAAAAATGTTTTGACATGATTCTCCTACACTAAAGTTGGATACTCGGCGCACACTTAGAAGCTCGAGTGCTGTCTCCTTCTGTTCTGAGCCTGTTAAGAGCAGACGTAATTGAGGATTTCCTAGCATGTCAGTAACTTCTAATTGTCAGATGGGGCGTTTAAAGACAGTCAGTTCACATTAAATGGGTCAAGATTTGGCTTCATTCTGGTTTGTCTTTTTAAATTAAGGTTTCTTCCCCCCCCCACTAACCCTCAACTGGATAAGTGGATATCCCCACCCCATCTGTAATTACAGTGAGTGTAGTTCAACTCGTAATGTGTTGTGGACACATGATAGTTTGTCACTTGGGTTGTAACCTCTGACGGGGGGTTTTACCTTATGGAAGCCAGTTTTAAACATTTGGGGACAGTTTTGTACCTTCATGTAATGATGCAGGTGTTTATTGGCTTACTTTATAAGTTTTTAATATTATTTATTCAGATTAAGAAATGGAGTGGCATCAAAAAGGTACATATCAGTGCCTGTGAGGTCCTGAAATTAGCCCTTAGCCATTAGGGGGTGCATTTGAGTAGACTGTAAGAAAAAAAACACTTTCACTGCAGTGCTGTTTCTCACAGTGCAAGATAAGAAAGATATGAAATCATCATCTTCTTTCAGTTGCTCCCTTTAAAGTTTGCTACAGCAGCTCATGCTCCTCCATCCTCCTCTGTCACACCAACCTGCATGTCCTCCTTCATTGCATCCATAAAACTTCTGTGTCCTTCCTCTTCTTTTTTTCCTTTCCTGCCTAGCAGCTCTATATTCAACATCTTTTGCCCAATATATCCACTATCCCTCCTCTGCACATGTCCAAATCATCTCAGCCTTGCCGCTCTAATTTTGTCACCAAACCGCTCAGCCTCAGCTGTCCCTCTCACTTCTAATCCTGTCCCTCCTGGTCACTCTCAATGAGAATCTTATCATCAACTCCTCCTCCACCTCCTGCTGCACCTCATGCAGTAACCCATGCTTTACTGCTCTGTGTGAGGGAAATTTTCTTATTCGTTTCTCTTTTACACCTTTGGACGCCTACTAGGAGTAACCCTGCTTTCTCTTTTACGAAATTAGTGATTTCTTTGATATGTCAGGCTGGCTTCCAGACCAAAATGACTGGCTGTGAATCAGAAGTTAATGACAGTGATTTCTGCCTGTACATACTAGTCTTTTTTGATACATACTGAGGTGCAAAAACTCATCAATAAGGGTAAAGGGGAGGTTTTCAAATGTCATCTTTATGGGGGATCTAGGCTGTTGTAGTCTGAAGAAATAAACTGACAGTGTTGTGTGCTTGAACTCAACATTACTAAATATACAAGAGTACACCTTCACATACCTGTAGGAGGCGCTCTTGTTCCTTCTGCCACTTCTCTTGTCTTTTCCGCTCCTCTTCTGGGTCAAAAGACCAGCGACTGGAGGGAGTGATTACGGGAACCGGTATCTGAAGGCAAAAAAGGAAACCACACATAGCAAATTTACCTCGCAGTTGTACAAAACTATCGCTGAACTTTGTTGCTTTGAAGTCCGCCTGCTTGTGCCATATAGATGTGATGATACTTAAATAATAATCTCTTAAACACCCAGTACTTATCTGCTCTTGTTTCACAACATTTCTACATGCTCCTGAAGGTGAGATGAAACTGCAAATATGCACTTGCACTGCACCGTCTGTACTTTATTTATTGTATTTTCTTATCTGGTTTCAAAGCTACACTAAAAAAGGTTCCCTATAATCACTGTTGAGTCACTAAAATGCTAAAAGACTGAAAAAGATGTGTGAACCTGGCTCTAAAGTGAACTACAAATGCAGTCAATGTGAGAGGCTTAACAGCGGCTCTGGGCTTTGTAATTACTGCAGTATCTGCTTTCAAAGATGTTGTCATACTAGAAGAGCAAACATAAGAGACAAAAACCGGCCTTTATGCACTGACACTACTCACATCTGGCACTGCAGGCTCTGATCCTCCTCCTAGAACAAGAAAGACAATCATTCAGTCGATATCTCCAGGCAGGCACAGGCAGAGCAGTGAAACATAATGTAAAAATACACAAGCGAGCCCTCAAGACATGTAACACAACAGCGCCAAGTTGACGGGCTTATTTAAGTTTCAACTTGATCTTTTAGTCAGGTAGCAGTCAAAGCAAATGACAATTGATGTTTTCAGAAAAAGCCCCCCAGCAGCAACGGTCAACATTCACCCACTAAGGCTTATTGATTCTCTCAATTCAAGCTCACCCACTTGTTAACATTTGGATTGGATGCAGGCCCAATAGTTCTGAATGGGAAAACCAATAAACTGATTGTGATGACAAAAAAGATCAAACCAGAAAAAAGAAACACAAAGAAACCAGCAGCATGCACACAAGCAGAGAGGGGTCTGTCTCAAAGGCCAACAGATGCTTCGAAATATGCATGCCAAGAGTGCTTTTAACTTGCAGCAAAGTGAAAAGTGTAACCATGTGTTAAGCCTGGACACCATCCCAAAATACCACAAAGCACAGCAGGATTCAAAGGTTTGTGTTTGTGGTTGGTGTGCTGGAACCGTGTCTGAAATGCTGTCAAACTTAAGGGGAAATGCGTCATGTCACAGATTATTTTTATTTCATCTGCAGGAGGTCTTTGAGTAGAACCTCCTTAAAAATAACATCAATCTTTCTGGGTTCGAGCAGCATGTCAGGGTCCCGGGCTGTACCAAGTGAATGTGAGGTGGTCAATGCACACACAGCCCTGTTTACCACAGAGGTAGACCAGCGCACTGACACTGGACCCTGAGCCACCTGAAGGAGGGAGGGGGCACAGCATAAAGGTTAAGCTCTGGCACCAGACGAGAGAACATGAGACAACAGAGCCATCGAAAAATCAAAGTCACGAGGCTGCCATTGATACGAAAACATGCAAAAAGTCCTCGAATAATCTGAGGAATTCAGAGAGACAAAAGCATAGAGAATCCAGCCACCAGGTTACACAGAAAGCATAATAAATACGAAGAACTGTCCTACATCTCTTCGCTCAACCTTCCTTGTTTTTTTGGTTTTTTTACCTTGTTCAAAGAACTCTGACCTCCGCTTTAAGTTTTTCAAAGATATGGGTTCTGACTCTACATGAGAGATGGAAAACAGAATGCAACAAAAACATTAGAAATAAGTTAAGCCTGACCTAACAGCACATACTGATCATGTCATTCTGATAAAGTCTATTACAACCAAAAAAGTTGGGACACTATGTAAAATGTAAATAAAGACAGAATGCATTCATAATGGAAAACATATCAAAATGTTTAAACTAAGAAAATTGACACTCATTTTGAGTATGATGGAAGCAACACATCTTAAAAAGTCAGGACATGGCCATATAAATATTTGGGAACTGAGGAGACAGGTTGTTGGACTTCTCTAGCTGCTCAACAGTCCTGGGTCTTTTTGTTGTTGTGTTTTTCATTTTCATGATGCTCCAAATGTCTTCAGTGGTGAAAGGTCTGAACTGCAGGCCAGCTGAGGGCCGGACTCTTCTACTATAAAACCACACTGTTGTACTAGCTGCAAATATGTGGGTTAGCATCTTTTTTGTAGAATTATGCAAGGCTTTCCCTGAAAAATCCATTGTCTGACTCTTAAGCTGTTGCTCTAAAACCTGGATATACTTTTTGGCAGATGTACAAGCTACCAGTTCCATAAGCAATAATCCACTCCCACACCATCAGAACTGAGCGCTGATACCAAGCCACGTGGTCCTTCTTCTCTTTAAACTCAACGACACAGCATCCATGTTTTCCAACAGGAATTTCAAAGTTCGATTTGCCTGACCAGGGGAAAGTTTTCCACTTTGCATCAGTCCATTTTAAACAAACTTACATGAAATCGTTCCACAATTTGTAGACAGTTTTTCATCTTTACTGCCGAGAAGCTCTGCCTCTCTAAGATCCTCTTTCCATACCCTGTCAGGTCACTAATCTGTTGCTGTAAAATCGGGTTAGCTTAAAAATTTTCCTCAAGTTGTTTCTTTTGTACCACTTACATTTCCCCCTCCAAACTTCTGAGATGTGTTGTTATCATCAAATTTAAGATCTACTATCTTTTTTCTTAAAATGGGATATTTTCTCAGTTAAAACATTTGATATACTTCCTGTGTTGTACTGTGAATAAAATACGGTTTTATGAGACTAGCAACTCATTCCAGTGTGTTTTTTCACATTTTACACAGCATGTGAACTCTTTTGGAGCTGTACAAAGTAACGTGAAAAACAAGACAAAGTCAAACCAGCAACTCCTACTGATGTATTTTTGTATTCAGTCCAGAAATAATCAAGATCAATTTCATAACCTTTCTGACTGTGCGCTCTGCTCTTTACCTTTTTTCCTCATGGTCACCGGCTCCTCTCGGAAACCTCCATTAACTCCGTTTGAAGCCACTTCCTGCAGGGAGACATCGTGGGGTGCACACTCATTAAAAAGCCACCAGGCTGGGGAACAATACAGAAATAAAGGCTAATCAAGTCTGAGTCAGTCAAGGTGATTCTGAGTCACTTACGCTAACGGGATGAGCCGGGGTCTCTTTGAACGTCAGCGTTTCTGCTGGAGTGTTTGAAGTAAAATCCAGGCTGGAGCTGATTGTGCTTTTTTCTTGGGAACCTACAAGCATTGGATGATCCGTACTGGTCAGATTGATGGTCTTATGGCTTTTAAATGGCAGGGAAGGTTGAACTCTGTCCCAGTCTGCGCGCAGACAATGTAACAGCATAAAAATATGATGTGTTTGCACATAAACCATGTGTTTTGTGCGGGTTTTTTTGGTTTTTTTCTTGTTGCCAGGCTTCTATATATGTGAACATATACAACGTCTGCATAAAGAAAGCTATAAAGCAAGGGGATAAGCGCGCTGTTATGTTGTTATTATAGAGTGCAGCAGGGGGAGACAGAGTAACCCCCTTCCCCAGCCATGCAGCCCATTAAAGCCCCCATTAACCCAAACACCGTTTCTAATAGGCTCACAACCACTGGACACCTGTAATTAACTAATATTGTGAGTTAGTTTAAGTTAGCAATACTGTGTGAACTAATGTGACACTGATAGTCCAAAATAAAGTAAACCTGTAACAGTAACACTGAAAACACCACACACTTATAGGCCTGTAGATCTGAGCTGGGTTAGTTCTCTAGAAGGAAAAACACTGGGGTGGAATAGCGAGCAGAAAGAAGAAATAACTACATAAGGGGGAAGAGGGAAGCAATTAAACAAAAAAAATCCCACAGAAATCAAAACAATAACAGTCTTTCTTCACCAGATGAGCAAAGATAACTCACAAGTCCTTCATCATTTAGCCTGTCATGAGCTCATTTATGGATGAATTCACAACAGGCTACAGACCAATTTAGAGTGTCAAAACTGTTTAGCAACCCAAGCAGCATAAGCAGTGCTCCCAGTCCGGGAATGCAGCCCTCAAAAACTTTTCACTTTCCTTCTCTGGCTGTCACGCAAGCAAAAACAGGCAGGGTTCAGACTACTCACTGTTCTGCCCATGACGCCTTATATCCATGACCAGACTGCCCTCCTGCAGAGCCTCATCCATGTGGGACTTCCACTCGGTGTAGCTCATGTCTGCCACCTTGTGCCCGTTCACCGTCAGCACCTTGTCTCCAGTCTGAAGCTGGCACATCTCAGCCGGGCTGCCTACAGTGGGCACAGGTCAGAGTCATAAGCTGAAATTTTACTTGATTCCACACTTGTTTTGACCATCATAATTCCCACTTGTGTTTCTTATATAAAACTGGGAATGTAATGTCACTAAAACTGACTTTTGGAAGACAAGATTTCATCCCACCTGTTTTATCCCCCTACAAAAAAAGCTCACAGTTAAACAATTCAATGTTATATGAGCATTATTCTTCCCAGTTAACATGTAAATGTAGGTACACACTATCTATTTTGTCTAACAGATAAAAGCTACAGAGTCATACTTACTCTTCACGCCATATAAAACATGCCTGTATTTTCAGTAGAAGTCCTGGAGACACATTCCAGCTTCATGAAGATCATAATGTCAAATTTTAGTTAAAAGTGTTTTATGGAGTGTTTGAACTGCATTTTTTTAATAAACGTCTTACTTTATCAGCATGCCAGTGTCAGCATGCTAACACTGGCACATTTACAAGTGTAAGCGGTAATAAGAATAAAATGAAAGATCAAGCGCTACGCCATACAGAGTCTGCAGATACAGTGAAATAAGCTGTAAGCAGGTATGACAAGGCTATATTCGTGTATTGCTTTGGGCTGTTTGTATTACTTTACTAATTTATTTGGCATGCTGTGATGTGCAGGTGGGGAATCTCAGTAGAAGGAGAGGCTCAGACCCAGCAGATCTGACCCAGATAGAAGCTGCCCTACATACAGTGAAGTCAGGCATTGCCACTGCAATGGACTCAAAAACCTGCTGACAACTAACCGACCGAGGCTGACAGATAACTGTAACAGAGCGGAGCGCTGGTTGTCAATATTACCACTGTACTGTATCTGTGAACAGATCAGTCAGTTCTAGTGAGAGTGAAAAACTTGCATTGTGTGTCTGATCTATTTTCTTCGGGGCCTATTTACTGCGAATGCTGTCAGTTTGGCTGACTTTCACACATTATGTTGGATGGTGGAAAAAAAACATATTACTTATGTAATACAAATCCTTAAAAAAAGTATTCCTGTGAAGTGCTACCTGGCTGGATAGATGTGACACAAGCTCCTGTTGAGTCCCAGGCTGCCTGGAAACCGAAATCTCTGCTGCTGTTGGGCTTCTGGTTCAGGCTGATCCGCATCTCACAGTAGTTCTCCTAGAAACCAGACGACATAGGTGAGTAGAGGTGAACTTGAAGAGTACAAATGTGGGCTGACTTCCATTTGCTCTGGAGATGCTTGTCAGGGTTGGCCTGCTTTGGCAGGGAAGCCTTCCATTAGTCATTTATGGCTGTTGAATAAATGCCAACCTGTTACTATACTTTAGCTACTACACTACTCCTAATGAGCTCATGCATTAAGTTTTACTGACCACAAAGCTAAAGATACACTAATAATGCTGAAAATTTAAAAAATTCACTAAAAGAAACGTGTTCAGTTTTTTTCATTGTAACCAACAGAAAACAAAAAAAGCTTTACTGCTTTGTCAGCAGGAGGAGATTCGAGTACCTGGCTGGTTTCTTTGGCTGGAGCAGGAGGTTCACTCTTGACCTGTGGAGGTACAGGTGTGACGCTCTGAGCAGAGTTGACGCTATTCCCCGTAGTCGCCTCTTCCTCCTCCTCTTCACTGCTGTGTGCTGAGCTAGACTGAGCTTCGTCCTCAGAGGTCATGAACTGATGGTACCGACTCGGCACTGATGACTTCTTAGAAACATCGACGTTGCCATTGACGCGCTTGTGTGAGTCGTCTGTCTGTGCGGGCTGCATGTAGAGTGGCAAAGAACACAGCCGTTAAGGCTCAATTACAACAAAGTGTAAAATGAACTTTAACAGCAAAGGGCTGCTGATTAGAAAATGATAGAATTTACTCTAAAAAAGCTGGTAATTATGTTACCAGCTATTTTTTAAAACATGTGTTAAACAGTTTCCTGACGAGTAACTAGTAATGAATGTGGAATAGTCTGAAAATAGCAGCTCTGGTAGTGGAGTTAGCATAATAAAACCACCAGCTTCATCCATTATTCACACTGTAATCAGATATGACTCCTGGGCAATACTGATGTAGTGAAAACAAATTACCTGCCAAACATTTCTTACTTCCAAACAAACACATCCTTCCCTCTTGATGTTCTTGTGCTGTGCTGGTAGTTTACTTGTAAAACTATCTAGTACTCACGGTAAAGCCTCGGGGAAGAGATGTGATGCGTGAGGGCTGGCTCCCAAAGGGCCTTGGTGTGACAACTGAAGTTAGACGTGTGCTATCCGATCTCTGGTAGGTCTTGGGCAGGGAGGAAGAAACCCGAGACACCGCGGGCGGCTTGGGTTCCATTGAGCTGGGCTGTGCTTGTGTGTGCAAAGGACCAGAAGAGAGGGGCTTCACCTCAGTCTGTGTGCCAGACAATGCAGGGCTTGGCTCAGGCACCTTTGGTAGGGAGCTAGAAGAGGAGACAACAGTTGGGGCCTCCTGCTTCTTGGCTGTGCTGGCGCGCTCTGAGTCTGTACTCCTCTGCAAAGGTACAGCTTCTGGAGACGGGAAGCGGTTGAATGAGCTGTAGTTGTTTGGAGTGATGGTGTTCGTGATGGAGCTGCTTAGTGCGGGACTGTCCACGACTTCAAGTGAAGTGGGAGGGGAAGCAGCCCTGCCGGTAGCTGGGGAAGCGATGGGAGGTTCTTTGTCATTCACAGAGGGCTTGGGGGGTTCATAGGAAAATTGGGAAGTGTCAATTGTGTAGCTTCGGCTAGGAAGAGCTCGGGTACGTGGGGCAATGACGGGTTTTTCAAATACGTTGTCGTCGTCGTCGTCTAAAAAAGAGAGAGATCCAAGACGGCTGCCAACGCTGCTCTTTCTTTTACCTTCTCTGTGGAGTGAACAGACGAAGAGAAGGTGGGAGGACATGAGAGGCAAATAGGTACAAATTGGACTAGATGAATAAAGTTAACGATGAATGTGGGGGCATGGAGTGTTAACGAGGACAGCAGAAAGCGGAGCACGGGCAGAAATAAGAGGGCAAGAACGATGTGCACTTAAATAAAATGACCGGCACGTTCTAAGCCATGATTGAATAACACTTTCACAGTGAATCAGTGCACAATTACGGTCTCCTCATTCACTCTTGCCCAAATAATCACATAGTCTCTCTTAATTACAGACACTTTTTCATGTGGTTACCTTAGCAAATGGTTCCCCTCTGATGGTGAAAGGGTTTAAAAGAGGAATAAATGTAGTGAGTGTTCCTTTTTGAGGAAAACCAGAATCACCAGAAATTAAAAGCAGAAAAACAACTACAGCAGTAAGTCTGTTGGACCTGTGTGTTTTTCCTCACCTCTCCTCTTGCATCTCCTTGAAGGTCTTAGACCTTTTCTCACCGCCGTAAGTAATCTGCTCTATCTTCTCCCTTTCCTCCTTCTTCTTTACTATATCAGAGTTGACACTGCGACGTCGGCTCTTCCAGTCGCTCAGGGCCTGCAGTGCAAAGAAGAAGCCCTCATCACCTCATGCAACATATCTCAAAAAGTCAATTTATAAGTACTGCAGATAAAGCAGACTGATTGTGTGCGCAGAGCTAAGTGTACAACTGAGGACAGTGAAGTTGAGAAGGAGGGAGAAAAAGATGTGAAAAAAGAGAAAGGGCTCCATTTGAAGGTGTTCTATTTGTGTGCTTTAGGCTCCTCCCGGCTCACTTCCCCTGTGTATTGGGGGCTGTGTGACCCAAATGCTGCTTTAAGACTCCATTATTTTGCTATGACACCACACTAGCCCAGTCCTGTAGTGTATATGTGTATAACTTTTTATTACTATTAACTTTTTATTGCTAAGAATGAACATGCACAATGGATCAGCAGTGTTTAAATTTACTGCAGCACTGCCATTTGGAGCTTACTTTCCATTTTCACTGTAACTTGAGAGTTAATTTCAGAGTTAATTGACTAAGTCTTCCTTACATCATTCCTTCATTTCACATTATTTCTACTTTTTTCGTGCATGTAGTGATTCTTGCGACAATTTTTAATGATGCAGGTCCATAGCCAGAGGGCAGTGCTGCTCTAGTTAACATCTGAACACCTACAATTTCAATCCAAACTGTTCTTTTTTCCACCCTGCAGCTATCCAACACACCAAAGCACCTGCTCCCCTGTTCGCCTAGTAGCACATATGGATCTCACAGATCTGTGTGACTCATCTTTCGCCTCATCTGCACTGCAACCAAACTTCTTTCTGCCCAAGCAGGCATGTCTTGAATCATATAGCAAGAAGAGTGGGCAGCTGACAGATATCCTCAAATATCAGTGCACATTGTACTCACATCCTGCCACTTATCCTCGCTCTGTTTAACCTTCTCACGATACTTCTGCAGCTCTTCGTAGCGAACCTGCCGGATGACCGCGGGGTCGACGTGCACATCACTTGTTGATTTACTCCTGCGGGGGGAAAAAAGCAGATCAAGCAGACTTTTTTTTTTTCAAAGATCAAAAGGCATCAGAAGTTTAGCTGACAGGTGGAAATCCACTCCAGATATGCATGCACAGTCCTGTGTATTTCCATCCTGTTAAATAAGCTGTAAATACAAACACATAACGAAGACACTGCAGTTCCACTGGGTACCTGCCATTAATATTTTTGGTATCTGCAGTAACTTGTTAGTATTCAAACCCAGCACACCAGCTGACCACCAAACCTTGAGGGTGATATAAGCTCAGGTTAGGAACAGTCTTTCCCATCATGCAAAAGTCTTTAAAGCCCCACCTTATGGAGAAATAACTTAAATAACTTCACCTACCTGTAAAGTTTTACATACAGTGTGTCATAACTCTCACTGGGACACACTGCAGTTTAGGCATGGACCCACTACTATTATATGTAAGCTGTGTCAAAAGAGCTTTGTGGAGCAAAGCCCACCTCCCCTCACCTCACCCTGAACTTGGCTCTGAGCCGTGAAACAGTCAATGTTGTGTGTCAGCGTTTAGCAGCTAGAGAGTGAGAACAGCAGCACAAAAAGCAGGAGGCAGCAGCGTGCGACCATAAGAGGGCAGAGCAAATGCAAACGTGCCACTTTTTTTGTTTTGTTTTTAGAAACTCACCCGTCTGTACCCTCTTGGCGCTCTCTAGGAAACCAGAAAAAAAAAGCCACAGACAACAAAGTCACATTTATACCGACTGCAGTTTGACAGTGAGTCAGTGAGTGCTTTGGTCAAGAGCTTGAGACCAATTAGAAGCTATTACACACCAGCTCGTTCACAGCTAAGAGGGCTTCAAATGTATAGAGGGCCAGCTAGGACATGACTCTGCTTGTTTTTGTTGTTAATATCAAGAGGATTAAAGTTACACTAGGCTGAGGAAGCGTGTAGACGTGTACCTTTCCCTAAACAAGGCTGCTTTCTGCAGACCCCAAATCCATCCATCCAAATGGGCTTAATTCAGGTTAAACGGTTGCTGTGTGTGTGCTTTTGTGTGTCCGCTCATGTGCAAACAGTACAGTGAAGATTTGTGTTCAAGTTACTATGGGCATGAGTCACATCGTCTTTCAGAGCTGTGAGGAATTTCTATAGCGCTTCTTGTTGGCGCAACAGACACGACTATATTTAATTTGTTGGACTGGTGCAGTTAGAGTGTTGGGGATGTTATGTTTGGATACTTCTCAGCATTCAACCTTTCCACCCTTTCTGCTGCTCTCTGAGTTTCACGGACCTGTATAAAGTTCCTTGTGCTGAGTAAAAGCAACACTATGCTCAGGTCAGGTTGGACTTTAAATTCCCATATTGCACTTTTCTACTCTGCTTGAGCACTCGCGGGTTTAAAAAAAGAATCAGCGCAGTTACTCACAAGTTGCTTTTTCCTTTTATTAAGCATGAATGTTTTAATTCCCATATGTAGGTAAACTGTCAGATAAGAAAAGATGAAAGGCAGATTTCTTTTCAGGGCTGTTTCGCAAATGATACACCAAATCATTATGGTTTTTAAAAAAATCAATGCATCACAACTCAAAATACACAATCTTGGTTGGTTTATTGTGCAGGTAATGTCTCAGTCTTTACACGCCATGAGTTTGAGAAGTAAAATTGACCACATCAAGCACTCAACTCTGAGGGAACAACAAACATTTAGAACAAGTTCTAAGCTGCTGTTGTGGTTAATTTCACCACATTTTCTTCACTCTTACTTTGAAATACCCATGTCTGATCAAGAAACAAGCATTTAACTGTGTAAAACTCGCCTCGCTGACTGTGAAGGACTTTAAATCAAATCTCAGCCAGAACAGAACAATTCAGTATCAAACAAAAATTACTGAAAGTCTGAAATGGCACAGAAACAACAAGACAAACATGCAGGAAAAAAGTCTACAGCCACTCTTACGTCAATCTTTTTTTTCCTTTACAGCTTCAGAGCAGCTAGCCTTTCCACCAAAAGCCTTTTCTTATGTCTTAACTGACTAGCTTCCCTGATTGCCTGCCACTTCTGCAGGTCCTCTTTGCTACAGGAAGAAGGCACTGAAGGGGTTTTCTGACTGGCTGATGAAGCGGAGCTCTGGCTCTGATCAGAACAGATTCTGAACTTTCGAATTAGCATGTCATCCGTTTCAGGACGGGTCTCCTTATCAACTTCATTCAGGTTCGGTATTGCTGCTTTATGAGTCAGGGGACATGGGGGGCAGAGGAGTCTGGACTTGAGGTCAGGAGGCAGTGCCCAAGGCTCTGGGATGGGCATCGGGGCATAGTTGTCAGGTGCTCCTGAGAGTGGTCGCTGTTGCTGTGCCTGCTGGGTTTTCTCCCTACGAAACACCACATCGTCCTGCTCAATGTCTGGGAACTCAGTTTCCTCGGCGCCTCCACGAACGGGTTTCTGGGTGACAATGTTGAGCTGCGGCTCAGAGGTGCAGCGGCGATGTCTGCAAGTCAGCAGAGTCTTCAGTTTAGCCAAGTTTGTGTTGGACTGGAAGGCAAGGGTTCGCCTGGCAAACATGTCATCATTCTCCAAGTCCGGGCAAATACTTTCATAATCAATGGGGTCCGGGGGCTCCCGGGGGTCTTGGCGCCCCAGGAGCATCCACTTCTCCCCTTTCACCAGTCTGGGACCTGAGGTGGGGTCCACAGGGGCAAACACCAGTGGGGGGGTCTCTAAGAGAGGGGACTTGGGATGCTGTGGAGGAGTGTGTGGTTGAACATGAGGACTGCAGAGTAGGCAGAAGGAGAGAAAAGGACAGAGAGGTGGTGAGTGCATGCGTGTGAACCGGATCAAAGAGCAAAAAAAGGAGGAAAAGATACAACAAGCAGCCACAGTGGTGACATTTGATTCAAACAGAAGTTGATCAAATGTGGATTTTACAGTCACACTGTTAGGAAATCAAACTGCAATGCTGCTTTCTACAAAAAAAAAGGAAAAAAGAAAAAGGAAAAAGTCTAGGCTTGAATAGGCTGTAATATAAATAGATTAATATTGACACAGCCTATTTCCACTAAGGTCAAAGGAAGCAAACTACATTATAAAGCATGTTAGGGCTGCTCCCGTCGCCTGAGGATACATTTTATCATTAGTATTATTTTCCAGGAGCTCGTCAGAAACAGAGCCCCAACAGGAGTCAGTTATATTTTCTTATAAAAATCTGGATGCTTTAAAATATTCCAGCATCATCACAATCATGCAGCTGTATCGACCTTTTCCCAACAACAAGGGTGGTGTGAGCTGAAGCCTCGTGTGTGCGGGTATGAGAGGGAGATGGGCCAGAGGGAGAGGGGGCGGAGGAGAGCCAGGGGCTGATGTCACCGTCTGAGTCATCTGACGAAGAGCCTGACTTCTTATGGCTACAGCCGACGAAAGAAGAAAGGACAGAGGAAGACAAAAGGTGGATGAAATTAGAGAAGAAACAACGGTAGGAAAAGTTAAAGGAAATATAGGCTGGAATCTGGAAAACAGTGAACCACAGAATCACAGATTTCTAATCTGAAAGGTTAGATTGGCATGCAGTTATTTAAGGTCAGCAAAATCAAGCTATAGATAGGAAGAAAGAAAGGATTGTGTATATATGAGTATAAATGTATGCCCTCACACACCTGAAGCCTTGTATCTTCTTGTACCAGGGTCTCCTCTGAGAGCCCAGTTTGATCTTCTGAATGTGAATGTCTTCTTCTGGTGTCCAGAATTTGGGTAAGAACTTGTCATAAGATACACTACTTGTAGGCAGAGGTTTGATACCCATCTTACGGGCATAGAGATCATCTTGGACAGGGTCAGCATAGCCCACCTCATCATCCTCATCCTCAGAGTCGTCATATACCTCCCTGAACAAGCTGTCAGTGGACACGCCTCGGCGGTGGTCCACCCTCACTGAACCGTGCCGGGGGGGTTGCATTTCCCCTCTGCTGATGCTGCTGCTGCTCAAGAGAGACAGCCAACCACAAGTGTCAAAACCTTATTTTTTGGCACACAGGTCACACCAAAAAAAAAAAAAAAAAAAAAAAAAGGATATATATATTTGTCCATCACAACAACCGCAAATGAAATGACGCAAGGAATATCAAACCAATGCAAGCTCAACGTCAAGCTGGGAGGCAAAAATTGATTTGTGGACTTGTCCTGCCAACTCAAATCACTCCTCCAAGCTGAAAAGAAGCAAATGAGGGCATGCTATATCTTTAAAAACGCAAAGCTCTTTGAACAAAAGCACCAAACTGAAGACTGCAAAATTGTTAGAGGCAGCACACTATGACAAAAAGCCACTGCTCATGGTTACAACTAACCATGCAAACTGAGGGTAAGAAAAGCATTCTTGTTTGCTTTTATCAAGCAGGCACATCAAAGTCACCCCGTTGCTTCATGTTCTCTGACCTGAGGCAGGCCACGTTTTGTTGAGGGACAACAGTGGGAGTTATAGTGACCTTGGGCAAGGTGTCCCCCCTGCCTCCAGCCACCCGTCCCCCAACCTGAGGACTGATGGGTAAGGCGAAGTTGGTGGGAGGAGCAGGGGAGGGGCTGTGGAAGCGCCTACTGGCCAGGTCATCCAGAACGAGATCGGGGTCCGGTCGGTCTGTGTCCGAGTCACTGCCACTTTCATACTCGCGGGCCCACTGGAGATGTGCGTCAGAGAAGGCACTCTGGGATACTTGACTGTCTCCGTAGCAGCCAGGGGACACCCTTATTTCACCAAGGCAGTCATTCCACAACAAAAATGAGAGACAACACCGTCGGCCATTCATAGACAACACAGCGATGAGAAAGGAGAAACAAAGAGCTACCGAGTAAACTTCAAGCCTTTGAAGCACAAACATGGAGTCAAGATATCTTTTGTTATAATAACCAAAAGGTAAGAGGAATAAAAAACAGCTCAGATGAGAAAGAGCACCTTCAAACAGAACAATGTGCATGGATTGTTGTGCTACCTGGTGAGAGAGCTTTCATCCTCTGCGAAACTGCTGCTGGCCCAGCTGCGCCGGTTGTCCTCATTACGTTCGGCCCGTTTCTTCCTTAGTGGAGCAGGCACGTAGCCAGAAGCTTTGTCTTTAGTGGGCAGGAACTGGTTAAACTGCGTGGTGGTTTTCGGTGCGACGACTGCCGACCGGCGGTAGCTGAGATTGTCCTTGTTCTCGGTCATCTTGAAGACAGAGTCTGCCTCGGTATCGCTACAACAACCTGGACCATGAAAGAGGAAAAACAGGTGTAAGGATTAGGGAAGAAAGTGGGAGAACAGAGAAAAGAGCGAGAGGAGTATATTGTGTGTTTTGGCGTGACTTTGGATGAGTAACAGAGGGGTGCAGGGTGTGGGGACAGAGGCCTCCTCATTTACAGGCCGGTGTGGACGGCTGTGGAATGTCTCACTGACCTCCACTGTGCATGGAGGAACTGCTCTGAGATCATCTGCCAGCAGTTTCCCCTTCTTTAAGTCAATATCATCACATGTTGGTATTCACTTTCAAAAGCATACCACTAGGTGGCAATAGGCATTTGTTTTCACAAATGGGTGTCAACTCTGTGGTTCTGAGGCAGTGTGTCTTCCCTGTTCACAAATATTTGAGTTTCTACACAGATGAGCTGGATTATAAATATTCAAGCAGAGAGACAATTTGAGAACAAACAAGCGAAAAGCGTGAGAACCACTCTCTAATGTCACGCTGTGTCCTGACAAATAATCAGCTTTAGGAAGATAAAAAGAAAGACGAAATTTGTCACCAAGATGTGGATGGAAATGAAATGATGTCTCCTACCCTCGCTGCTGCCTTTAAGAGTGGTGTCAGATGAGATGCTGTGGGGTCGGGAACCCAACGAATCCAAGCTGTCCAGGGAGTCGTCCCTCCTGTGTCTACCACCACCACCTCCTCCTCCTCCTCCTCTCAGATGGGAGAGCTCCTCTCGCTCAGAGTACCAATTGTCTCCAAAACCGCTGTCTCGGACGTTGCTGCTTTTCTGACTGGAAGAATCCTGCAGAGCCTTTCACACACACACAAAAACATTCAGATAATAGGGTGCCAATTACAATATTTATCTCCACTGTGTGTGTGGTGAGATCTCCCAGGTAGAGAGTGAGTGGTCTGTTTTGTCTGGCCTCTCATTCTCGCAGACAAAGTTACTATAAGCATACGCTTCCATACCATATATAAAGGAGTGCCATTTAAATGGGATAACTTCACTGTTTTCTCTTCTCTCCCATCTTTGTCAAAATAAACAGTGTCACGATTCGCACGCCCTCGACGGCTGTGTTTACTGCGTGAAAAGAATGTCATCGCACATAAACGCATAAGCAAGCCCCAGACGAGCAAAAACTTGTCAACCACTTTAAAGAGAAAATGATTTTCACATCTGTAATCTGCCAAATCCTACCAGACAATGCGAGTCCGCAAAGCAAACTCAGCCTAACCCTGCGCCACTGAACTTGGATTATCGTGGCTAAACGTACAAAATACGCTGCATCCCACTGCTATTACTGAAAATCGGTGGAGAGGTCTTGCACACCAACCTATAAATCTATGTGAAAGCAAAGCGCCAAATTCAACACTGGCACAGGCACGGGCGGAAACGAGGCTTCTTCAAGAAAAGACGTGGCTATTTTCACTTGCAAAACTATGCGAACAGCATGTTGTAAACAACATTAAAATAGTTGAGTCAAGGGATCGGGTCTTTTATGACTCTACGTAGCTTTGGTTTTCGTGGCTAGCACACTGCGTCCCCCTCGGCCTATTGCTGTCATTCTTCTGCCTCATAGTCTTCATACCAGGGAGGATACAGTAACAAGACAGCGGCTATAGAAGAGGATTTCTAGTCCTGCCATTTCTGCTGTCCACAAGGAAATTCAGCTCGTGTTTCATGAATGAGATAGAGAGAACACACTTCTGGGAATTTACCTTGTATAGTGCTGTGCCCAATAAACCCTCAAATGCCTTGAAGTTCAAGTAAGGTCCATCATAGAAGCAGTCACACTGAGCTCTTCTACCTAACCAGTAAATGGTGATCAATACCTGGAAAGAGAAAACAAAAGAGATTATACCTTCATTATTTTTATGAGAAACCTATATCTATACATCAGGTTATCACTACAGCTTTACCTGTACAAATGTCAGGGATCAATGTGCTGTGCAGTGCTAAAGCAGTCGATTGTTATGATAGTTGCAGCCCTGCTTTGATGAGGGTCAGATCACCTAGAGCCATGCTCTAATTTCCAGGCTCATCCAGAATACTCTGTTGTTGTTTGTCTGTGCATTTATATGCTGGACAGGAGACTGGTGCACTAAGGCAAACAGTAAACCAACAAAGCTATAACCCCATTACACATGATACCGTTTAAAGTGGCGTGTCAGCGCTTTGGTTTTTTTATGTCAGAAAGTTATCACGGTTGGTGTTGACTTTTTTTTTTTTTTTTTTTTTACATAAAAAGGGGCAAACATCCTCTAGTGAACATGTATACATTCTTAATGAATTTAAAATTTTAAAGTTATGAGGTGATCATTTGTCATTTTTTTCCTCAATTTATTCTGTAGATGCAAATAAATTGCAGTAGCTGTTTTTCGGCATTGCACCTAAATAAAATAAGGAGGAGAGGTTTACCTATCTCCTTGCATGACCCTCATTAAAGGAGGTTAAGTGTAGGAGGTTATGGCATTCTTGTGACCTGTGGAGTTAAGACTTTAAATGTCTAATCAATACATTCAAATTGTGAATCTGTGAAGCATTATCACGCAAGTCTCTCAGTTTCTTCCTCCTTTGTCTAACCTTCCAAAAATATGAGCAATAAAGCTCTATGTGGCATTATCTTTGCATTGGAATAAATATTTATAATGACAAACTATTATGGGATTCTATAAGCCAGTTGTAAAATATCTGAAAATGAATAAAATATATAAAATTTAAAAAAAAACAAAAAAAAACACTCACATTTTTCAGCCTCCTGCTGGTCTCTTGATCCCTGGGAGAAAAACAGAAGGTTCATGTGTATGAGAGAAGATGAAAGTAAAAAACAAAACAAAACAAAAAAAACACAGAGCATCGTTGTTGAGTTTATGTGTCGGGTAGTGAAAGAGCTGGAAACTGAGAGCACAATCCAGACTATTGCCAGCCTCGCTCTCACACAAAAGGCGGTGAGAAAAACAAACACATATTTGTGGGGGGAAAAGCCATGAAGTAAAATGTTGAGGCTTAACAATCCGTGTCACATCTGAGCACCTAATTTCAAGCTAATCGCAACATCTGAGCAATTGCGCTATCATTTAGTTAAACTTTAGGGACATAAATGGGTTCTTGGTCACGATGTGGAATAAAGATAAGCCCAGCAGCTGCTAATTTATCACCAAACAAGGCTCTGTTTAATATTTCACTCATATTTCTTGGGATTCAGAGTCAAACTGTGTCAGTAAGCCAACTTTCCCAGGAAACTGGAAGCTCCTGTGAAACCAAACAAAACTCACAGTCTCAAGCTGCAGCCTATTACCCTTGGTAGTCTGTGTACTTGTCACCTATCATGACCTTAATGTCTGTCTTGAGATGTTGGCAAACAGAAATGCATCATAAACAGTAACCATAATGATTTCACGAGAAGATTTACAGTCTGCTTTACATCTCCTGTTCACGTTGCACATTTCTGCATCTTTGTAATACCACAGGCAAACACACCTCTGTTTAACAATGAGAACTTGGGTTACAGCGAGACTTTTTCCATGCATGCCATGCATGCAATGTAACCAATAAACCTGCCAAGACAATGATGATGCTGTACATCAGTACCTAAAACCAGAAATGTTTAGGCTTCTATGGGTTTGCTGGGTTCAGATAAAGGAAACAAAGCAAGGACGGATATTTGAATCCATATTTTTCAGGCCAAAGGACAGAAAGGAACAACTGAATTGCTCAGTAGAGAAATAAGAGCTAAAAATAAACATGGAAATGCTGTTCTGAAGTACACTGCAGAGTACAGAGATACTGAGAGAAAATACTGTACTTTTTATTATTGTACTCTGAATGTATTTAATATATTTGGTTATTCTTAAGATTTTACATTGAAAACATTTTTTTTACAACAAAAGCACCATGTAGGACTTAAACAGGTAGTTTCCAAACAAGCCAATGTCAGATGTTGCATATTCATCTGAGTGACCTCCCCCTTTTCATGGAATCAGATATATTGAATGAACTGTTCAAGAGTACATACCCAGTAACTTATTAAATTACTAAAAAAAAACCCCACTTTCTGTCAAGTTCATCATCATAAACTTTCAATTTCTTCCTCTGAAAGAGACCCATGAACTATAGTACCACACTGCATGTGGAAGAAGTAGCTCCGCTTGTGCTCTACAAACACCTTTTTATTTAACGGCTATTTAATTCCATTCAATTCAGTTTTACTTATATAGCACCAATTCTCATCAATAGTCGCCTTTATATTGTAAGGTAAAGACTAGAATATTAGACTCTATAATATTAGAAAGAAACTCTCACAATTACACGATGCCTATGAGCAAGCATTTGGCAACAGTGGAAAGGAAAAAAAATCCCCTTTATGCACTTTGTCTAACATTCATGCACCCACTCACACTCCAGTTTATGGATAGGGATCACTTCAGTGTTCCCACGTGTCAGCAATTAAACCACTGATGATCTGATTAGTAGATGACGTGCTTTACCTTCTTGAGTTGTAGCTTGTGGCTAGTGCAGTAGTTAACCCACTTGCCTTACATGCATATGAGCAAGACTAGGAGGAGAAAGCTTCCTGAAGTCACAAGCTGGTATACTCCTCACACTCCCTAGTTTATGTCAGGAATGGCATATGGTGTAAAACTCTGTATTTATTATGATAAACAGTATGTTGCTGACAATGCTTCTGTACTTCTGCTCGAGTATTTTTCCACTGCCGCCGGTACTTTTACCTATCTAAAGGTTCTAACACTTCTTTCACCACAAACAGCTGGATGGGAAGCTGATCAACTTTCCCACTAGCAAGCGTCATCTCACACCAGGGGTTTCCAAAATGCTGATTTGCCAACACTGCAAACTGAAATGGACATTTACCAGTTTGGAACACTGAGAAATATTTATGGCCCCAGTAAAAGAGATGGATAAAAAAAATGCCCTTGTGTGGCTTGGAACATGGGCACAAAGTCTAAGATTATAGCAGCGGCAGCCAGGTCCAAAAAAGTGGGCGTTGTATACCAAAACTACCAGCATTTCTCGTAATGCCCATTTATACACGAGCAGAGAAGATAAAATGGGGCTATTTCTAGTTCTCTGGAACCTCGGGATTTTGCTGTAGCTTGTTAGAATCAGCTGAGTACTCATATGATTGAGCACGGACACTGCTGGAGTCTGATGCACACCAGTTCTAAACAGAAAGTACAAGCTAGGAAAAAGATACTCTAAAGTAGTATAATCAGTTTATTGTGATTTATTAGGTTTCAAGGGGGGAAAAAAAACAAACATTTGTGTTTTATGCTTCTTTTTTTATATGTATCGTGGCTGCTAAAATATATGCAAGTGTCTTCTTGTGTGTCAAAAGAGGTAAAAAGAGGTTATTCAGGAAGTCATATAGGATTGGTTTATGGTCCTATGAAAAACTATACATGCTATACAGTGAGCAAACAAAGCTCTGACAGGAAACCATCAAGCTTGACAAAATTATAAGACAGTCTTATCATTCACAAGTGTTATTTGCTACATGTTTACACAGACTTTTGCACCACCACACTTTTGGCCAAGGCAAAGAACACGTAACGACCAATCCCTCATCACTTCAGACGGCGTTCTTTAAACTTGCGCCGCACACAAGTACCCAAGACAACACGTAGGCAAGTCAGCAACGTCTACTACACAGCCATTGGAAAGATAAACACAAGCCTCTACCTCTACAACCAAATCAAAATTAGTTTTTCCCCAACAAGATGTTTTTATTTACATGGCACAGTTTCAGCTATTACTATCAGCTACTTTAATTTGACCTAAAGGAGTCGAATAGTAAATGCTGCCAAAATTGAGAAAAAGGAGACAAAAGGGCAGAAAGAAGTCAGATAAACTGAAGAAACACAAATATTCAAATGTTACACAAATAACTTTCTAAGAGAGAGCAAAGGAAATTATCTAATTCAATCACTTCCCTGTGTTGTAACAGAGGCAGAACGATAGACTAAGTAGATAATAATAAAATCTACAGATAAATGTATTCCAACCTGTATCTGTCTCTAGTATCAGTCTGTTTACAGCCAATAACGACATCAAACCAGCTCGACCTCTCAAACCAAACACCAAAACTAAATTAGTGGGTGTGAACGCGCAATCAGAGAGCATACCTCTGCAATGAAGATTACTTGCTCAGCCGCAATCCATAAATCCACATGTAACAGCATTCATCTATGTTCTTTGAGATTTAAATACAGACCCAGACAATCCCCAGCAGTACCCCCCCAAAAAAGAAAAAAAGACAGACACAAGGAGAGTTAAAATAGAGGAATCAGCTGTGGGTGAAACAGTGTCAGACATCATTGTGTCGTACTTATCAGGCACACTGCAGCCTTTGTGAGCGAGGAAACAGGGTGAGGCTGGTATTTCTCTCTCCAAGTTAACTACAGGGCACAAATATAACCCTTGTGTTGCCCTTTTACAGCCAGGGCTGTGTCAGTGGTGTAGAAACTTTATTGGCCTCTCAGCATCATCGCTCGTTTGGTTTCCCAATCTGCCCACGGTTCACGCAACGCTGTGACAAACAGTGATGGCATTGCCATATATTATACTATGGAACCAGAAGGTGCAGTTCCAGCTCGCTGAACCACACCCGAAACAACAACACACCGGGCACTGCGTCTGACTCCTTTGCCCCGAGTTCCAAACATTCAGATTTTCACAGTGAGCTTCAAAGTACTACCACAGTACACACAGAATGGGGTACAATACACACTGGTGGTGAAGAAATTCTGATAACAAGCTATGTAATCTGTACACATTTCTCTGGGAAACAACACTTTCCTTCAAATATGTGGTCACAGAGGTCACAATGCTTATTGATTATTTAGAAGAAGCTATTAACATTCCTCAGAGGACAATGCACCTGTCAATCTTGTGCAGTTGTTTTCTCTCTTTTTTTGGGTTGCAGAGCAGTCAATAATTTGCTTAATCAAACAGTGGAAAACAAATGAGACTTTGGACCCCTCTCTGTGGGGGACTTGTTCTGTCAGTTACTGGAAGTCACAGAGCAAAGCGATCACAACAGCGAGAGCAATTTGCAAATTCCACTATAAACGTTGTGCATTCAGAAAGCACTTAAATACATGTAGGCTAGCAAAGGCATCATCATAAAACTATGGTTTATGGACGGGCTGAAACTCATTGAACAATCTCTAAATCCTTAGGGCCTTATAAAACGGATTTAAATAAATTTTCATTTTAAGTTCAATTTAAACAAAAATCAACAAACAACTTTTTTCTTATTTTAAAAAATCCTAACTTTTGAGTGAAAAAAACCCTCTAAGCCAAGCTTATATATTTGAAGCAAGTTATTTTCTGCTGGTTATGTTTGGGACATGTACACAACCGCGTCGTAGCAATGCTGCTGAATTTCTATATCGGATCTAATAGTCCACAGGATGTAGCTAATTTTGAATAGTGCGCTTTTGGAGGGAATGATTAATCCTCAGCCTCATCCTGTGGACAGTTGATAGCTGGTCATAAATAGATGTGAATCACAGTTTGCGATCATGAATCAGATTCAGTCTGGTACTACGTGCTTAAGAAACAGTAACTTGGCTTCGGTTTAACACGTGGACGATACGAGGCAGGACACTGTCCCCTCTTATCTTTCAGTATCTGTATCACAACAGTTTGTGATGCCTATTAACACTTTTTGACATTGTGTTTGTGACTGATAAAAGTCATTATCATAAAAAAGGTTTCATAACACAATGCAATACAGCACTGAACGTGCTAGAACCAGTACTACAATTGCAAAGCTCAAAGGTCAGGCCAAACATCCAATACGCTTTTATGGTGATCGTAATGCGGGCGGGCACGAATTAAATAAAGCCTTCCTTGTGTGCGGCGTCATGCAAACTGTCACTGTGCCTTGTTAATAACTGTATTTTAAGCACCTTACATCTATTTGTCAAACTGGATGCCGAGGACATTTCAGCCTAGACGACTGATCAGCAAAAACACGTTGCAGAGAATTTCTTGGTCTGCTAACAAATAGAAAACTCGATTTGTCATTTCAGTTTCGTTTTATATATCAGTCAGTTCATTCTGCTTCATCTTTCTGCTGCAAAACATTTCAGGTAACTAATGCAAAATGGGAAAGTTTAAATCTAAATGGCAAAAAAATTTAAAAATAAACGTCCGGTTTATCTGCAAGTGAAAGCAACACAGAGCAACCAAGAGACAGAATAACAACCTAATTGCTGCTGAACAGCAAAAAACAGTGAAGCTGAGCGAAGCACCTGTCAGACTGGGTTTAAGGGAGTGGAGGTTGGACAAACACCAGGGGTAAAGACAGCTGATAGAGACAACTTTCTCTCCCTCGCTCTGTGTGTGTGTGTGAGCTCTCAGTGCCTCATTTGCTTAGCCTCTGATAAGCACCAGCACCATAAAACCATTGGCTGCTTGTATGCAGCCTTGTTTGGGAAGATATCCTCATGTTACTCCTGGTGCGCGCTCTCTCTCTTTGTAAGTCAGAAATGCTGCAAGCGAAATTTTTACCCAGCAGGCCAAATTTTATTCCTTCTTGCATAAAAAGAATTCTGGGCATAATTAAAACCTGCTGAATTTAAGAGCAGGAATGACTCGTGCACTCAAGAATGTGTAACTGAATATATACAAACACAAACACACGCAGGTGTACTATGAAGACCACAAGCAAGGGGAGGCTGCAAACTATAAAAAGCTCCTTTACTGGTGTCCTGATACCATTCCAATCAGTCCTGCTTCTCAAAGTGACCCCAGATGCTAAAAATAGGATAGCGAGAACAGTCTTACAAAACCCCAGCACGCAGATGGACAAGGCGGCAAAGAGCTGAGCTCAAGTATACTCTAAGAAGTATACTTTTTATTATATGTCTGCGTGACAGAGTCAGCTGCTAATATGCTAGAGTGACTTTTAGTCAGCTATCACTGCATGAGTATCGTTTCTCCAGCTTGTTACTGTCACACGAAATTTACCACTAGCATCATGGGAAAAGTTATGTAATGAAGGAAGTGACTGAGAGCATGGTGTAAGACGTATCACAGAATTATCTTTATGAGAGTGACAGGCAAAGATATCTTAAGGCAGCTTGTTCTCTGGTGTAGAGGTGAGGGTGTGTCTTCATAAAAGGTAGGCAGATTTGTTTGTTTAAAGCCCATATACCACTTTACAGTACACCTGTCTGCATGTATGCCTTTTTGATTTACGTGGTTTCGACAATAGCTGTCAGCGGTGGCGAAAAACCGCTTAGGTGAATTATGGGAAAAATGCAACATCTCGAAGGAACACCCCAAATTAAGGGCTACTTTGTGTTTACATTAAGTGAAACACAAAGAGGTGAAGCCCCTCTGAATATACATGCTGCATTTTTACACCTTCACCATGGATTATTTTGTCACCCAAAGTGATGTATTTGCTAATAAGGGCTTATCTGCGTCAAGCTTAACGACCTGCAGGTATTGCTGTTAAAGCACTTTTTTTAAATGCTTGCGCAGCACAGAGAGGGTGCCACAGAGGATGGACAGTACGCCGAGCCCTGCTTCGCTTCCCCCTGAAGGCACACCTGTGCGAAAGATGAACAGGTTGTTCAACATACCGCGCGCTTCTCTGGCGGGGCATTCAACTGACACAAAAGCAACTGTGTGAAAAAACTAATAAACACAGCAGCAGGGTACTGATAATGCGCGAGGCTTCTCTTTAATTAACAATCGCAACGACGAGTCTTTAAAATCTATACCCTGCACCAGTAAGTGCTCAGTTACTGTCACGACTAGGATTTTGCAACCGGAATCATGACATTTGTATTGAATGGAAATTAATTTGACCTGATACTTTACAATCAGATTACACATTCTTACTACTGTGTTGTTGTTTTTTTTATCAACAGTTGGATCTCCCACACTTTAAAGAAACTCATGTACCTCGGCAGGTGTATAACAGCAGGAGAAAATATGTACTGAAAATAGAGTTGACCTTTTTTTAACAGCAGCTTGAATCGTGGCTCACATGAGAACCCATGTCCCTTACAGTATCTGTGAAAGCTACAATGAATCATTCAGCCTCTCTGTGGGAGATTAAGTTGATTCAATCAAGGAAGAAGCAAAAACACGAGTGGTCTCGGCTTTTGTCTCTTGCATGATTGCATCACAGGTCTGTGAATGATGAGTACAGGCATCAAAGTGTTTGTGCCAATGCTCTGAAAGCTTAAAACTTACTTGACTGTGACTCTTGAGGACAAGTCTTGAAGATCTCCGGGGTGAAAGAGCTGCGCTTCCTTTAGTCCAAGCTTCCCGCAGGCCTTGAGGAAGACGTTAAGGTTGTCCTGGGTAAAGAACAAAGCAGGGATGAGGTCTGTCCACCTTTAGAGGCAAAGAATAATCACTCAGGAATTCAGTGGCAGGGACACAACCTACAAGTGATTGCTTCCAAAGTTCATGTCACAGACCAGAAGTGGATTGGGAGGAGCATGTGCGTAGCAAATAAGAAGTGACCCATGGCAGGACACAAACACACATGCAGTGGGTGGGGGGAGGAGGCAGCCTGACAAGAGCTGAGTGACAGCAGCAGAGCCACCTGTGGGTTGCGTTAGGGTAGGGAAAACAGCCAAACCAGGAAGAATGACATCAGAGGTTTGCACAAGTCCCACCCAGCCAGGAGCTGGAGAGCAAAAGTGACGCACGCGGCAGCACGCTGCCTGTTGCACTCTTTTCTCACACCCTGAAACTGTCCCCTCCCCTCTGTGCCAAGCCCTTTATTCGAGAATACCTGTGGAATCTGTGGGGTGGTGGTGTATTTTTGAGACATTAGGTTGCTATGAAACCTTAAGTCGGGTGACAGAAACGGATAAATATTTCCCTGAAGCGATTCTTCAGAGGACATGGGAGTGGAAGGACTGCTTTTTTTTTTTTTGTTTCCCCCGTACATTGTGTCAATCACTTTACGGTTTGCGTGTACGTACACGATTTGGACAGGTGTGTGGGCATGATGCAGGAAAGCAAAAATACATTTTGCTCCAAAAATATACACACAACTCAGACATTTCAAGCAAATCAACCACACAAGCACCATTCTTTTCCGGTCTCGTGACTTTTCCAGTTGTAATCCCAACTGTCCTGTTTGTAAGGCTGCACTTCCCATTGGGACAGCACTGCTTATGAGGGCTTTCATGTAATCATACATGGTTTCAACATGGGCTGAAATAATTAAGGGGTAGCTAGTTCTATATTTAAATGGCAAACATGCTTATTAGCAAATGGAGGAAGAGAGTTCGCCTCCCAGTGGATGTGAGCTAACAGTTTTGCCTGTCCCTCTGCAGTACTTTGATGGGCTTTATAGGCTACAACCATTACAAGTCATACATCAGCACTTCACCTACTGTATGCAAGAGGTACAGAATAGCACAATCTCCCAGACTGAGATATCGTGACGAATACGACTGAGTAACTCAGGAGATAACACTGATTCTGGCTGCTTAAAGGGACAGATAGGGCCTTTGGTGCTTTTTATCTTCCATCTACATTGATTAAGTGTGAGTTGATCACTACTTGAGATTTAAGCTATTGTGATGTCGTCTTTCTGTTGAATATAATGCAATCAGATGGCGCTTGCCTTGGACCACTCATAGGGCCAAAAACTATTTTTTGAAAACTCTGCAGCAATGTCTGTTTTCAAGAAGAAAAAAAATGCACAGGCCTTGTTGAATGTCATGTCATTTTGTGTTACTGATTGGTACAACATGTACCTTTCAGAAAAAACAAAGTATACTTTTAGCTGCTTTAATTTGCCTCACTAGGGTGAGGCAAACAACAAGACAGCTTTCAAGTACAGGCACTCTGAATGTTAGATTGGAATTTTAAAAACTTGCATTACAAATTATGTTTAAAGACGAGACAATAAATATGGTTTAAAGGAAGTGTAACACAGCCCAGATCATGTTTTCAACAGTGAAGTGAGGAATTGTTAATATTTTATTTGTTTCCCAGGAAAATGTCTAATTCGGTTAAAGTTTGAGAAGTATCATGGTGTTTTTTCAAATGCAGCAAATATCTGCAGTGGCATGAATTATGAAACACAGCTTTATTCATCATACAACCTGGTAACCCATCAGCCCATCCAAAGCCTCCTAAAAAGTGACTGGACAATAAAACTAAGCCTACGAACAGACTACAGATGGAAACCAGAATATTTGTGCAAACAACAATTTTGTTGCATATATGAACATATTCATATGTAAAATCTCTTTAGAGAAATTATTCAGCGATAACTGAGTCTGTTAGCATGATCCCTTTACTTAGCCTTAATTAACTAAAGTGGCATCCAAAACTAACTATAGAAGGAACTGAGTTTGTAATCTGTGTCCATTATCTAAATAGTGACTATATTTGTTATAATAAGTTAACTGGTAATGTTATTCAGTACTTTATATGCTAAACTGTTAACGTTCAGATCTCATAACATATATCCCACTCAATCCCAGAAAATGGGATTAAGGCAAATAAAATTCTAGTTCTATATCTTTTGGTATGTTAATTAACTACAAAGAGCATTATGAACAAACTAAAAGCCCCCGCCCCCCCAATAGATCAGTCCCAGAACATGCAGAGATAATGATGTTGAAGGAATTTTATGCTGACTTGTGCCTGCATATAATCCTGCTAAATATGCTGTACCCATCCAGCAGCCTCTAATCCTCTCATGCAAACTCGAGGATCCTGATTTAAGCACTTCGCTCAAAGAAACGGAAAGCTTCTTCATCCCTTCTGGTCGCATTATGGCCACGCCATTTCTTTCACTGCTCTCTTTGTCTACAATAATTCCCCTCAACTGACCCCTTCCAGTGCTTTAAAGAACAAGGAAAGTTATGATTAAAATATCAGGCTACACAGTTTCAAAACCTGTGACAATAAACCAAGAGGAGATTGAATACTTGAAATACCGTCTCTCCTCAAACGGGCTCAATAAAGGGCCCACACGTCTCAAAAGTCGGATCCAGTCATAACATGCACGCATACAACGCAAACACAGTAACAAAACATGGTCAAATACCGTTCATTGCACAGACAATTACACATTTAGATGAGTAAAGACACCCTAAAGGCCATTGAAACTGTTTATCCTCTCCATCCTCTCCCAACTACCTCAACTCACCAAGGAGTTGGTGTGTGCTGGAGCAGCCACTGACATGCCAATTACGGTGTATTTATGGTCTGCACTTTAGTGGGCAGATGGAGTCATCCTTAACTCCCTCCCTCTGGCTTTGCCCCAGTGGGCCTCAGATCCAGGCCCACATTCGTGCAGTTCGCTGCCCAACCACACAACTGCCGCCTTCCTGCTAAGCACTGGTAAAAGCAGAACCAGGCTTGAACCGGGCTTCCATGGCCCAAACCCACATCTCACTCAGCAACAGTCAGAGGAGTTTGCTGACATGAGAAACATTCCCCTGGACACAAGTGAAAGCAAAGAATAGGCCAGAGACTGGAGCCAATGTTGCTAAATATTCTGCAAAACTGGAGATTTACTGTTTTTCTCTCTCTCCTTCGTTCCTTCTTTGGTCTTTTTTGCTCTGCCCAAACTTGAGGCTGGTATTGATTTAGAGTACTGACAATCCCACAGATAGCAAATCTCAAACCCCACTTATAAGTCTAAAAGTTGAAAATACTCATATTTGAGTGGTAATGAGGCACGTTTGCAAGGAACAAAATGATTCAAATCATGCTGTATCTACTCTGCAAAATGAAAAAAGAAACAAAAGAAAAATAGTGTTACTCTTGCTCTTTGTCCACTGCTTCTGGCTTTTCTTCCAGATCTATATTTCTAAGTTGTGTAACAGAAGATGAATGGGCAAACACAGAAATGTTCAGAAAATAGCAAACTTCCAACTAAAAAACCACCTCCCTCCACCACCACCAACAACAACACCACCACCAAAGACCACACTTATTGCTATTAAAAGAGACGCGAGATAGGGGGAAAAAGTGAGAGTACTTGGAGAGGAAATATATTCTCGCATCAGTGAGACTGAGTAATGTTCGTCTGGAGAACTTTCCACTTTTCTCCATGTGGTTGGCAGTCACTGATAGCCTCGAGCCAACCAGAAGCCTTCACATTTGCGAGAGAATTTATGATCAGGTGGTTTCAGGTTTATGTCCAGGTCTCGGAAATACCACACAAATGCTTCAGATGGAGGAGACACTTATTACCTCAGCAGGTGCCCGGCCAGCTCTGTCAGTAGTAGTCCAAAACAAACTGGCAGGAAATTTGATTTACGTCAAAATGCCTATATGATGGCGCATGTTTGTTGTTTACAGACTGCTTATTTCACTGCTAACTTGTCACTGTCTTGTCAGCAGAGCCCATAGACACACATGAACTCCCTCTGCTTCAGCTAGGGTTGGGATTCTCTATAATTCCACTAGACAGCTGGTCCCAATTACTCCCACAACAGAGAGATGCTGAGGGATGGGTTTAAGGTAGGTTTTTAAACCTACCCTAGAAGTTGTTTGCAGACGCTCCCAAAACATCCATGTTAGCTAAACCAGCCAGGCCCAAAAGATCTCAGCTGAAATGTGACAACAGTACCAGGCCGACTGATTCAAAAACAGGTATTTAGCATAGACTGTACCAAAGATTGGTATAACCAAAGACACAAGCCACTGGCTTACTGTTTTTGTCTTTGAAAATGGACCTGGGCCCTGTACTACAAAGCAAGTTAAACAAACCCAGGATATCTTTCCATGATCTGGCCTCACTTACCGTAAGATCAGCAATGAAGCTAAGTGATCACACTTCTTTCCGAGCTTTCTTCCAGGAATGGTGATGTCATTTTGGTCAGTAGGTGGAGATTTTATACCTGCTGATCTCTGATCTCGAACATAACCTGCTGCAGAGCAGGTAAGGCCCGAAGGATAACTTGCGATGTTGGTGCACCCCGGTAAGAGGTCAGTCATCTTCATTCTACTAACAATCTATTTCAGGGGTGTCAAACTCAAATACACAGTGGGCCAAAATTCAAAACTGGAACAAAGTCGCGGGCTAACATTAATATTTATTGAAATATATTTATTCCTCCAGATATAAGAATGAATCTTTTCTTCTTTTGCTGAAAAACTGAATATGGAACAAGCAAAGCTTAATACTAAATAATATATATATTAGCTGTATAATACCAGTAGGCCCGCTCTAATAGTAATAGTAATTCGCGGGCCAAATGTAATTAGGCTGCGGGCCAAATCTGGCCCGCGGGCCAGAGTTTGACACCTATGATCTATTTTGAACCTTGAAATCACCTGGATAAGCCCAAATCCTACTTTATAGTGCAGGTATATCTGGACAAAACGCCAATACTTAATGCTAATGTCAATTTGGTTTTTAAGGGACGTCCATATTTCTCCTTAATACTAAATTTGATGCAAAGATTGAATTTACATCTTAATGCAACTGAAACAGATGAGTTTTCTAAAAATGTATCCTCTGTCGTGTCGTCACGAGGGACGAAATTAGCCATAGAGACAACAGATGTTTTTGCACCACTCTAAAGACATGTTTATTTCTGTTGCAACTTTAAACTTGAGGGTTTGTGGGGATTGACTGACTCTTGGAGCCAGCGTCACATGGCCGTTAAAGGAGCTTCTTGAACTTCAGCGTTCAGTTTTTCTGCTCTGCAGGTTGCTGCTTGGTTTTAAACCCCAAATCTGGCCCCGTCTAACATTCTATCACTCAATCAAAACTGTAATCATCATGCCAACACAAAGACCTTTTGTCTGTAATGGTTTTGATTGAACACAGCCTTCAGCACGGCCGTCCCCGTATTTATGATGCAACCAAATGAACCGGCGGCATTTCAACCAGCTTCACGTTCATTGAACTTAATAGCGTGGAAGGATACGTGGAGCGACAAGTCACTGAGCAAAAACTCTGCTGCTGCCTGCTACACCTCACACTGCTCCACCCAATCTAAGACACCCACTACTATTTCTACAATAGAAATTATCCCCCCCCAAAAAATGCAATAACGAGAGACAAAACTATGATCAAAATAAAGATGAGCTCTTATTGTATTTAAAGGATATGTCTGAGTACAGCTTTTAAATACAATAAGATTGAGACTAAACAATAAGGGGGAAAAAACTTACCAGTCCAGCAATAGGAGTAGGCAGTCTGTTAACCCTCTTGACAACACCAGGCTTGATCTTGTTAATCAGTCTGTGAGCAAAAGAGAGGGAGAGGACGAGGGGAAGGGAGACGGTGAGTGAAAGGAGTTGGTTATTGGCTAGCCTGCTTTAAGTGCGAGGGAACGAATAAAATGTGTTGCAAAGTCTTAGTGTTGTGTGTTTACGACTTTGTTTAATGGTAGCCACCTGGCTTCAGTTTAGCAAATCGCCACTGCTGCAACCGTGATGTAAACACACCAGGCACACTGCTCCTAAAATATACCCTCCAACACTGAAACAACCCCAAACAAACCTTGAATCAGCCTCAGAAAACAGTAAGTAAGATAGATGGTGGATTTCTGGTGTTAACCAAACACCCAAGGCAGAAAAAAAACAAACAGCTTGACCAACTGGACTAAAGGCTTCATAAGATGACCATAGTTTATTGTGCCTCAGAGATCTGGTCGGAAAAAAAAAGAACTACCACACAGTAAAATTATTCTGTTAGAGGTATTTACAAGTCATGCTTCCCGTTTAAAAAGTCTTCCTTTCACGGTTTAAATTATAGAATATTTTGCAATCAAATATACTCAAAGTACAAGGACTGCAGACTGCAACTAAATCCTATATTCATTACTACTTAATATAAAGATCATATGCTTTATATACCAGGGAGCTACATTAACATGACTGACAGGTCAACTGAGGAATACTGAGCATCTAGCTTAAATTCAGTTTTCAGCTAGAAAACCTTGCAATTTATATGGATGTTACTTTGACAGGTGCACTCCTCAAAGGAAGTGGTCTCCCCCAGCTCTGTTATAACCATGCTGCACAAACTGCTGAGAACCTCTACCAAGAGCAAAGGGTGTTTACCAGATCTCCAAACTTCCAAGCTGACTGTTCATTCGAATTATTAGCAAACATCCCAGTGCCAGAGAGTAAGAGACACCCACAGATGATCCATGTGGGGGTAAGCATGAAACTATGCAATACTGTGCAGTTGGTTTTATTATTCTGCATGACTGATTAATAAAAATCCCTATAAAATGTAATCCAAAGCAATAAAAAGGTGTGACTACAACCCCCACTGCTTGATTAAAGAAAAATAACACATTAAAAGCTCAACATGAGGCAAAATAATTTGTTTACTCTGCGGGCTGGGAGCGGATGGACTGGTATAAGGCTTAGCATGGGCTCACAATAGATGTAAAGAAAGAATGCAAAGGGCCATTTGGGTTCACATTACTCATTTAGCATGAAACAATGGAACGTTACGAGATAACACACACTTTAAGTGAAGTAGGATATAAACATGTCTGCGATCCACGCAAAACATTCTTTTCCAAGCGAGAAACTCCGATAACCAAAACACAATGGGAAGGGAGGCAGCGTTGCTAGGTGAAAGCGATTTTAATCTGTCTTCCTCTTCCTTGTGTTGAGAAAACAGACAGCCCGTGAGTGAGAGTGTCCGTGTAGTTCTCTGACATCAGGCAAACAGACGAGTCAGGATCAAATCAGCAGAATGAACGGCTTCTTCTCTGAACCAATGCCAATAGAGTGTGGAAGATTCTGCATGGCCTGCTGGTAATTACGGCTTCCTGCTGATCCGAGCAAATCACATCAGTGATGTGCCCATTTAGCAGTGCTGCCCACAAGCAGACACATGAAGGGACATGAGGCTAGCCCTCACACACAGAGCCCTAATCTGAGAAAAAGCCACAAACCCACAACTCTAAGAAGAGCAGTTAGTGAATGAACACACAAGCCAGTCCCGGACAGATAAATTTGTTCCTCCAACTCATCAAAAATGTATGTACCCGTCGATGTACCCATGCTAATGAGAAAGCGGGGTGCCCTGATTCTCCAGTGCGGTTTCAGCTGGAGCTCTTTCCATTCACTACACAGCTTCTCACACAGCTCTCATTAAAGTAACGATGGCGCTCTGCCCGATCCACAGATCTGTAACATCTGTCAAACACACAACACAGCTCCTATTGAAATAGATCACATTTCATATTCTCAAACAAGACCACAGGGGAAAGAGCTGACAAAGAAAACATCAAATAACTACATAATAGAGTCACTATTGTGCTGTCTCAAAACACAGGCTCACTTCATGTGACTAACAAACAAACAGTGACCCAGCAGGGGGTCTGCCTGGGAAACATCAGTAACACTTACGTCGGTGCGCAGACCTGAAGGAGAGCGGAGGGATTCCTTATGAATGAGTGGCTTACGAGAGGTGCCTGGGAAAAGCAGAGTACTTACTCACACAGAAGAACGCCATTCTCCAGCGCAGATCGGAAGTCCTTGCTCCCAAATTTTTTCTTCGTTACTGCCTGGGGGAAAAAAAAAGAGGAAAAAAAGTGATACAAAAAAAACAAAAAAACAAAAAAAACATAACAGAGCAATCAGGGTTGGATGAGGAGAGGAGGCGGGAGGTGAGGGGGGGTGGGGTGTTATATGTGTGAAATAGGGTGGAGAGCCTGGAGAAGAAAGGTAGGATGTTGAGAACAGTAGCAGAGGAAGTCAGAGGTATTTCCTCTCGAGTTCCTACGCTGTCTCTGCGGGGTGAGAGCCGTGCACAGTTCTTCAGGTATTCCTCAGGAGCTCACAAGTACCTCATGTCTTCTCACTTTAATGCCAAAAGCTGCTGGTAAACCGGAGAGCTGTGCTAAAACTGTGCTGGAGGCAGACTGCCTGAACCACAAAGCTATGGCAGCATCTGGAGTACGGGAGGAACACAGCACTTTGTTATAGCCTCATGCCTTTCCCATGATCTAAAACCACCGCTGCAGGAACACCAAGAGCCATTACGCAGACAAACACACCGCACGCATGTCGTGCAGCCTTATGCATTTAAACTCATGCACATTTGCATCCTTGATTTTAAACATAACACTAATTATATTTTGTATCTGCTTGTTGTAGCTTTTCATTAATGCATTCTGAACTTCCAATAATAGCTTTTTTATGTGTTATAACCCCAATTCCACATGGTTTATTTGCTGTGTAAAATGTAAATAAAAACAGAATGCAATGAATGCCATTTTAATAAAATCACATTTTATTCACAACAACATGTCAAATATTTTTAACGGAGATGTACCATTTTAAGAGAAATACTAACTCATTTTAAATTGAATGGCAGCAACATGTCTTAAAAAAAAGTTAGGACAGGGCCACGTTTACCACTATGTAGCATCCGCTTTTCTTTTATCAACAGTCTGTAAACATCTGGGAACCGAGGAAACCAGATGCTGAACTTTTGGGAGAGGAATGTTGTCCCATTATTGTCTGACACAGGATTCTAGCCGTTTAAGAGCCCTGGATCTTCCTGGATCTGGTGCTCTAAATGTTTTCAGTTGGTGAAACGTCTGCACTGTAGGCAGGCCAGTGCAGCACCTGGACTCTTCTACTATGAAGCCATACTGCTGTAATAGATGTAGTATGCAGTTTACCATTGTAAGGTTTCTGTTTCTATTTACTTTTTGCACAGCATCCCAACCTTTCTGGTATCAGGATTGTGGAATTTTTTTTTTTTTTAATTTGCATGTACATCAAAACACATTAGACAATTATACATGTATTCATAGAACTTTTGCAATGTGGTAAGTGCACTGCAGGACAAGTAAAAACAACTGGACAAAAATATCCTCCTCTATTTTCCAAAGCAGAAAGGACTTTTTAAATTAAGTGTTTCTTTGCCAGTGGCCTAACGTTCCCACACATTGTGCTCAGTTTTTAAGCAATCCCTGAAGAGTTGAAACAAAAAGCAGTGCTATCCTCTCTGGCAGAGGTTATGACTACAATGGCAACCTCATAGTATTTTTTTTTTTTTACTGTGGGAGCATGCACACTGTAAAACACTTTTTTTAAGAGGTCTTGAGCAATAGTTTCCAGGCTTTCTAAAATAACCTGAGAAACACATCTGACCCTTCAGATGATCCATCTACTTTTCACTGAATCCTCATCAGAACTGGTTTCAATGGAAGGCCAAAGTTCAAGAAGCCAAATTGTAAAATAGAATTAAACCAAGTCTGTTTTTGCCTTATATACGGTATTTCCATGTATGTTTGGACGTGCTTTGATAAATTGCTACAGCTATTTACATTTTTCCAGCAAAATATAAAGAAACGGAGGCTGATTCAAGACCTTTGCACATTACTGTAACTTAAATCACCAAGAGGGAGGGTGAGCTGACACATTGAACTACAAGAATAATACTGGTGGGTGCAGCTGGCATGAGCCAAAACATAAATGCACGCACTCTCACAGAAAGCAAAAACACGTTGGACGAGTCTCGCTGACTGATTGATCAGATGTTCCTTGTTCCAAGCCTTTTGTCTGACTTCCTTTGTCCCACAGAAAGGAACAAAAGCTGGGACAATTACTACTATAGTTAAGTACAGGCAAACATTTTTAGGATGACAGGAGAAACAGAAACAATTATAGAGACTGGCTGGATGCCACTATTATTCCTTGCCAACAGATTGTGCTACACCCCAAAACACACCCTAGGTAAGCTGAGATGCCCAAAGCCTCAAATACCCATCATTCCAAAAGTATTAGACCATGGTGTAATAGATGAATAAAGATTAAGGTTCTCACACTAGTAGGAGGAAGCCAGTCTGCATATGTGATTGTGCTGCTGTTTGGGAAATACATGTTTTGTTTACATAATACACTGAGATCTTGGCCTGCTCCTCTTTCATTGACCAAAATACAATCAGAACCAGACACTGAGAACACGAAACCAGCACACAGATATGCAAAGCTACAGACATGTAGACACAAACACAAAATCACACGGAGAGCAAACAACCCCTGCAGCAGACAGAGAGCAGTCAGCCAGCTGCTGCAGTTGGCATATGAAATCCTGACCCCTACTGTTCTATACACACAGCTGGGATTTGCATGCATGCAAACAAACACTACATGTGGGAACATTATCGGAAGTATGATTCCATCTAATTTGGGTCTTTCCTAAAAGTGTCCCTTTATTTATTTTTCATTAAACGTTCTTTTCAGAGTTCTATCGGCTAATCAACCAACAAAATGATTCCAATAATAACTTCAAGGCTAAAAATGGGAGCCGACCTGGAATTAACACAAAGCTGGAAGCATTGGCATAATTCTATCCTCTACAGTCATCATTAGAGGTATTAACTGCACTTAGATCCAGTCCTGCTGTGCCCTCCCTCTCCTGTCCAACCTGCCATGTGGGATAAAAAACTCTAATCTGCACCAACATACTGCCGCTCTGATTTAACAGGGAGGTTTAAGCCGGAGCAGGCATTTCAAAAACAGCTTGCCTTCATGCGCACCCACCTTCACCTTCCAGCTTCCACCAAAATGTGACCAAAGTTTACTCTGGGCTGTGGAAGGGTCCTGTGAAATTCATTATTATTATTGGAGTGAACCATTATCTGTGGTAGAGGCCAAATATTCAGAGACTCTGCATCCATGACCGCAGTTATTGTTTATTCATGCAGGGCACTGAGGCAACTCTGTATTCAAGGTTTGTGCGGATGCAGCCCCTCTGGCCACTAATTGTTCCTGAAATTCTTTGTTTCTTCTGCAGCACATTGAGGTATGGGTCATCAGAGGGAAACTGGGACCATATCCAAATATTTCAAGGTTTGGACTCAAGGGAAAGACACTACTGTGGAAGCACTTAGTAATAACACAATCAGCATCCTGGAATAATAGGAGTACATCAACATGTAACTGCAAGGGAATGTTGTCTTGTTTGAGGGCTGGTCTCACATGAGTACGTCTGAAAGCATGCGGCCTCGTTTCTAATTGGTTTCTGTCAAAACAGTCAAAACCCCGAGTGAGGCTACAGCGAAGTGACTAATCATCAATTGCACAACACAGCTTTTGGTATGAAAAACAACACAGCAGCATAGGTCACGGGGAGGGGGGATTCATTCAAACTTGGCAACATTGAAAAAAAAAAATTTGTAGAAAAGGTAATGACCCTACATAACACTTACCGGTATATAAGGAAAAGTTTGCACACAAAAAGTCAAGGAAAATCTGTCGTAGCATGTTGTGTGGATTAGCTGGTATCAGATAGCATTTCATAACCTTCTTATTTTACTTATTTTATGTGGATGGCTGCAAAATGTCTCAAACCCCACATGGAATAAAAGCATATCTAATAATATTCCTTTCTGGATTTGTTAATTGTGAAATTCTTTCCAAATCAGTCTTTGTATGAAATAATTGAGGAAAGTATTTGAATAGATACTTCTTTTCCAAAAATGTGTCCTTTTTTATCCATTGCATTTATAATTGTAACATTTTGCAATATTATATTTAGCTGGCTAACAAAACCCACACCCCAATGACCTCAACTTGGACAACTTGCTCTACTATAAGAGAGATTTTTCAAACTTTTGCTGCACTTAACAAAAACATTTACAGAAAATAAACAGGTGATTAAAAGGTAAATAACAATCAAATCCCTCCTACACTCACCAGACGCTGCTAGGTACACCTTGCTAATTCTTGGTTGAACCTCTTTGGCTTCAGAACTGCTGCAATGTGGTTGCAGGCCACAGTTGGTACTAAAGGCCCAAGGTGTGACAAGAAAATAATAATGGATTGCATTTTTATATAGCGCTTTTCGAGACCCTCAATGCGCTTTACAATTCCACTATTCATTCACTCTCGCATTCACACACTGGTGGAGGCAAGCTACGGTTGTAGCCACAGCTGCCCTGGGGCAGACTGACAGAAGCGAGGCTGCCATATTGCGCCATCGGCCCCTCTGGCCATCACCAGTAGGCGGTAGGTGAAGTGTCTTGCCCAAGGACACAATGACTGAGACAGACAGAGCTTTGGATCGAACCGGCAACCTTCCGGTTACAAGATGAGCTTCCCAGTATACTAACACCATCACCAGCTTGAACTGTTGATATGAGGCAGGGTTATGTTTTCATATTGTTTAGAACAAATTCTGATCCTCCAAACTAAATGTTGCTGAGGAAGTTGAGAATCATCAGACCAGGCAACGGTTTTCCAGTCTTTACTGGTCTTCCAATTTTGGTGAGTCTGTGTAAACTGTAGCTTCAGCTTTCTGTTCTTCAATGAGAGAAGTGGCACCTGGTGTGATCTGCTGCTGTTGCAGCTCGTGTGTTTAAAGGCTCTATGTGTCGTGCACTTCTGCGTCGCCTGGTTGTAACAACTGGCTATTTGAGTTCCTGTTGGCTTCCTATCAGCTTGAAGCGGTCTTGCCATATCCTCCTGCCTCTTCCTGGATCCTTTCTTTCTTTTGGACCATTCTCTGTAACCCTAGAGATGGTTGTGCAGGAAGATCCCAGTTTATTATCATTTTCTAAAATATTCCAGCCCTTCTGGCACCAGCAACCATGCCACACTCAAAGTCACTTAAATCACCTTCCTCCCCCATTCTGATGCTTATCATATCTGCAAGAAAAACAATGCACTAAGTTGCTGCCATGTGGCTGATTAGAGGTTTGAACTAACAAGCAGTTGAACAGGTGTACCTAACAAAGTGGCCAGTGAGTGCATGTGGAAAATCTCCAGAAAAGTAGAATTAAGTTACATTGCTTACACATGTTACTATGGTAGATGGGACAAGAAACTATAAAGGGCTTAGTTTTGGTTCAGTATTACACAACTGTAACCAGATAAGTAACAAAACTTCACAATATCTGCAGTATTATGTTACCTTTGACCTTTTGCTTTGTTCCACTTTGTTTTTTTGAGAAACACAATGCAGCATTTTTTATACTAACCACACACACACACACACAAACACACAGCATTGAGAGTTGAAATGTTATACAGAATAAAGAGTGCGATGTTAACATGAGCTTCACATGGACCAATAGCTACTGGGAAACCCCACCTAGAACTGTTCTGAGAGCAGGCTCTTTGAAAAATTCAGTCTTATTAATGACAACGTAAACAAAAGAGGTGGCGGAAAAGATGCTGCCATGTGTCTGACATCTTTGCTTGCTTCGGCACCGTTAGTGAAACACAGATCTAAGACTTAATGATTTTATTATATTACTAATTGCCAAGTTATTATTCATAGCGGATTGTTTATTGTCGGACCAGCCATATACATGATCTTCTGACCTGTAAATATAAACACAGCCACTTCTTCTCAATTGTCCCACCAATCACACTTGAAGCCTTTCTATTTAATTAAAGAGGACCTCCATTATTCCACTGGGCCCTGTGGTTGTAGGACGCATCGCCCTGCGCTGACAGCCTGCCAGCTTCGAGGGGGCTATGTTCACAGCCATGGAAGCTAATGCAGGAATGTGTCCATGTGACAGGCTCCAGACCATTTAGTCTAGTTTTTAACAACACCACCAACCTCGCCACGCACACATGCCTCTGTTTAAAGTGCTGTGAAGCCAAGCAGCTTGTTAATCATTCAGTGGCTGAATCCAAGAAGTGAGGGGGGGATCTCTTTGAAGAGAAACCTTTCCTCTCTGATGGTACTAAGTAGCTGATTGTTCTTGTATTGCAGAATAGTTCTTAGTCTTATTCTTTCAAAAATATTACCCCCATTGCCTTCACCCATTTGTTCAGCTTTCTGCTCACCCTCCCTAAAGTCCCTCCCTGCAGACCATCATGCCCCCACCTCACTCCATGAGCAAAGCCACTACAATGGGCCAGTGTGCAAGTGTGAGAGACACTGATGTCACATTGAAAGCATTCAGATTCACCCTCATGAAATAAGAACAATATTTGTTTAGTTAGGGCCATGCAGCAGTTTCATGCAGCCCTGCTGGGAAGAGAATTTGCAAGATGAGGACACATAATTTCACCCGCTTGTTATGAGAATAGGGAAAAAAAGCGCCAGTCTGGCGCGAGTTGGAGTGGAAACTTTAGAGAATATGACATTTTAGGAATGAAATGGAACAGCTGGAGTTTTTTTTCTGTTGGCAGCTATTTTAAAATTTGAAGGCTACCACAAGAGAGGGGGAAATTACTGTAAAACACTTTTTCAGCTTCAGAAAAGAACCCTCTTGTCAAAACCTCTATTGTATATTGCTCACTTTCAGAATTGGTCATAATCATAATATGCAGCACAAAATACGAATGCTTGGATTCATTGCTAACATGTAATTTTGTATAAGCACCATAAACCCAAAATCTCAGTCATTTGTTATGAATCGGAGTTAATCCACAGTTACATAATAGCTTGGATCAGTCATAGAAGATTTTCCTAATTGCTCTTTTGGGTTTTCCTCTCTACCTGCAGCAACTGAAGCCTCGAAGGCAAAGGTAAATGAAAGAAAAAAACAAACAAACAGGTCTAGGCAAGATCTGACATCAGAAGTATCAGCCAGCAACAGTGATGACTGGGGTCAGACCCACCTACCTGTTCTGTGAAGAGAAAAGAGATAAGTGCTAAGAATTGTGTGATTCATCTTTCAAAAGAGAAGATTGATGGCTGGGTAACTTGAGACGTGAGGTCAAAAGGTGACACATGCCTGTATGGATCTTTGAGTCAGGGCTATTATCATTTGGAACTTGGGTGCTGGCGGTTAAAGCAGTTCACAGTCATAAAGAATTTCTCAAGCATGTATGTATTGGAAGGTCAAACTCCGCCAAAAACATAACTATAAAATTAAAAAGATATACAAATAACAGATCTTTTTCACTAGCAACAGACAGTCCTTAACTTTTACTTATAGACTGCCTTACCTGTTAATTCTACTGAGGACAGCAAAGAAAAGAAGTAAAGAAAGTTCTGAAATATATATATATATATATATATATATATATATATATATATATATATATATATATATATATATGTATGTATGTGTGTGTGTGTGTTTTTACTCACCTCAATCCATCTCTGCGCCTCCGAGTAGGCTTCCTCGCAGCTGACTGAAGACTGCTCACGCCACTCCATCATAAGAACTTATTATCCGAGCTTCACCGGCGGGTAAAGTCCTAGCAGCCCGCATATAAAAGGTCCACATAAATGTGAGCCAGCTGAAGCAAGCAAACTCGATCAACCTACATAAAAGTGCACACAGGTGAACTCTCAGTCATTCATCAAATATGCCTCCTATTGTTCTTTCCCACCTGCTCATTCGTAAATGAATGCAAGGTGTAACAGTGTGCATCATCTTGCGACTGCTTACCTTTTCTTTCATCCGACACACCTGTGCTTTGTGTCCTTTTGGCAGCGGGTTTACACACTCCACCTTTTTTACGCAGCGATTGAGTTTTTTAAGACGCGCTGAGCTCACCTCTTGCAGCACTCACACGAAAGACAGTTTTTCACCTCAAGTTTTAGAGCTGCATGAGTTAGAGTCTGCAGCGGGAGTGTCTCCAAACCCGGGTCCGGGGACCACCCACAGGTCCTTGAGCGGATTCCAGTTGAAACACACGGTTGAATTCGCTGTTAGCCCCCCCAAGAAAGGTATTTGGACTCCTGGTTTGGGCCAGATGCACGTTAGTGTAAGTGTATACTGAGGTAAGCCATTAAATTCTGTCGGACTACAAATATCCTGAAAGAAAATGTGAGGTCGGTTGACGTCTGGTCTCCAAACACAAAAATGTTGCGGAAAAAAAAAACTTTGAGTCTATGGATAAAACTTATGTAATTGCAGGAGTTCGGCGCTACCTTTAAAATAACGTTCTTTTCCTGCACCACCGCCAAGCGGTGATTAAGGGGTATTCCAAGACCTGAGCACATGCTTTACTCGAGGGTTTCAAACTTCATTGCGAAACAACAGCATGCCGATCCATTAAAATGAGTGGGATTTGGTTTGCAACTTTTAGAACAACTTACTGATTACATTTCAATCAACTGGGCTTTTTTGTTTTTGGAACTTGTAGGGAAGAGGCTATGTGCTACAACATTATCTGCAGTTCTGTGAAAAATGAAGCACGAGTCAGTAGCTTGTAGAACCACCTTTAGTAGCAATAATTTGATGTGATCAGTTTCTGTATAATTCATTGGAGTTTTCCCCACTCTCCTTTACAACCATGTAGAATATTTGGTATAAAAGAAATTTCATGGTCAATTCAATGACTTGGAAAATACCAGGTCCTATAGCAAAACAAGTCCTCCATCACCGTGCTGACAGTTTGTATGAGGCATCTGCTGATGTGCTGTTTGGTTTTCAAGAAATATCGGGTTATTTTGGTCTCATATGTCCAAAAAACACTGTTCCAAGTCTTGTGTTTTGTTCAGGTGTAAATCATTCTGCCATGCTCATTTTAGAGATATGAGACATCCTTATCTCCTGGAAACCCTTTCAAGCAACCAATATTTGTTCAGTCTTTTTTTAATCATACTGTCACAGTTAAACATATAGGGGGTTTATTGCATTTTCTCTAAGCATTGCACAGCCTAACCTTGAGGTGAATTTGCTGGGATGTCCACTTCTGGGAAGATTGTGGTATTGTGTTAACACATACCTAAATTCTCCAGACCAGCAAACTGCCAAAACTTCTGCATTTATAAAGACACTCACTCTTTCTAATAATAAATGAATAAGTGCATTTGATTAGCAGCACCTGGCTGCTATGACCCCTATGGAAGTTTTAAGTGGTTACTTTGCTTTTCAATGGACTTTATGGAGTCCTGTAAAAACTCCTTTTTTCAGGATGAAGGTAAAAAGCTAATGGTTTTGCAACAGGAAAAAGTATCCACAAAAGAAGAGCTTAATAAATTTTTCATTTATTTGACATATTTCTTATTACAAAAATCTAGGCATCTTCCACACAGATTTCCAGCTGTATAGTCAGCGTGTTTAGTGAGCCTCACTTCAACATCATTACTGCATCCAACAACATTAGGCCTATTTTCCCCCCTCAAAGCTATGAATGAAATAGCTTGCAAATGTGTTTCTTCAGCTTGTGTTGAGCATGTGATTAGACATCTCATTTAAAACAAATCACTACATACAGTATGTGTCATTGAAGTCTGAGTAAAAAAGGTTAACTTTCCTCAGTGATGTAGAAATTTTTAACATTTCCTTCTTCACTAAAAGGCCAAAAATTAAGTAAACAAACCGTAGTGCAATGTCGAGACCATACAGCTAATACCTGTATGACATTTAGAGATGTCAGCAGAGGCGAGCTGGAAAATTCAGATCTCAGTGAGAAATACCTTTATTGACAAGCAGCACTCTGTTTGCTTTAGAATTAATTTAACAACTATGTAGAACACAAGGGGAAATTACTTTACAAGGATATCCCTGACATTTTATTTTCTTCACACATCGACTTGCTATAGCATTTTGAAAGAAAAATTAAATAAAGTCAGCACTTCAGAATGTTTGGCAGTAATGTTGTCTTTGTTTTCTAGGGTCAGAGAAAAACAGTAGTTTCCTCAGTATGAATCTTTGGAGAGGGCAATGATGGTGAAACGAACCTCCTGAGGGTCGCGAGCCATAAAGACTTTGCAAACCTCTATAGCATCCTAGAAAAAGGAAGACAATGAATGTAGGCAAGCTTATGGCAGTATTATTAAGACCATCTCAGTTTTATTTGGTTGTCTCACCTCAAGGAAAGTATCCTCTGAGGTTTTTCCATGGGCAATAGGAAAAGGCTTACGGCCATCTAGGTATTGGAAGAAAAAGTTAATCATGTAGGTTTAACAAAAATGTGCTTCCAGTCTTCTAGTACTAAATGTTGTAATGATTGTAATGACCATCAACAATGTGACAAATTCTACCAAATATTTTCTATAAGCGCACTTTTGCTTTGTGGCTAACTCACCCAGTTCATATAAGTGCCCTCCAACATTCACAAAAGCTATAAAATGCAGATTCACTTTCTCGTCTAAACTTGGGGCCTACAACAGACAAGAAGCAAATGTTAAAGTGCATTAAGTTCAACACAAAGCATGCAAAAAAAACTTGAGATATAACAGAGTTAAAAATCAAAAAGACACCTCAGTCTGTCCTTCCTGTGCACTGGATTCATGTGTAACACGTATACTCTGGAAGAGAAAACAGGAAAACAGGCTGAATGTTTCCTCTGTTGTATATTTCAGGGTCATTTGAATGATGCACATTTTTGCATTGATCTTGTTATGGTTTCCTTTTTCCTGGTTTGTGAAATAATTTTTTATGACTTTGTACTATTACATTGCAAAAGCGGTAGCAAGCACAAGTATGACAATGCCCTCTTGTGACAAGTTGGTTACACAATTCTTAGTACAGTCCTTCACACGTGATGAAAACTTTGTCACCCTGTTCTTAATAAAGATACTTTTCCAACCTCGTCTTTTTCCAGGAAGGTTGCCCTTTCCTCCGGGGTCATTTTAGATGTTTGTTCAAGAAATTTCTTAAGAGGAGAATCAGGTTCTGAAAGAAAGAAAAACACTTAATAGAACCTAAAAAAACTGACTTAAAGCAAACACAAAATTAGATTTATACTCAGTGACGTCTTTATTAGGTACACCTGTATAATGGAGTGAAATGAGATGAGAGAAGTCAACTTCAACATGCCCATAAACTCAACAACCACTCTGATACGCACGGCTGTTCAATTGCTCATTAACACAAATATTTAAGCAGCAACTCAGTGCATTTAACCATGCAGACATGGGGCCTGTGCTTCGTACCGAGCTAAGTGAGTTAGCTGGATTAGATTGTTGACGATTTCGCGTGATCCTGGATCGTTCGGTTCCCCGAAGCCCATCTTGCTGTCATAGCAACAGAGCCGTAAGCGTAAACCTGCTGGGGAGCAGGTTTACTTTATGTAAACAGGATTAGATCGCGGCCACGCAGGTATGCCCGCGTCATTCATACGAAAGCAACAGCGATATTCCACCACTGTTTCACCATAAATAAATAACATCACTGTAACCAAAGATAATGCAGCACTTGATCCTTTTATTGATTTCACACAGATACATACAGGTCATTCCCTAAAAAAGGGAAATGTACTATTAACATTCTATTACATGTATGTGATTATTACAGATGTAATTCATATTTCAGAGTAGTAATTGTAAATTACTTCGTGTAATCAAGATGAGAGACCATGGCTATAAAAGCGAAGGTGGATTTGGGAAGTCTGTCGCAGTCATATCCTGTCCGTTTACGCGAGCAACCCATTGCGGAAGGTGCAAGATTGATAAGGAGAGTCCTCAGAATTCAGCGTATATTGCGGGACAGACAGGATCCTTTAGCTCAGCGCGACAGTGTGCTCATAGAGAGATATCGATATTCCCGTGAGGGTATTATTTACTTAACCAACTTGTTGACGAGGGGGTGCAGGACCACCACCTGTCTTTTTTTTTGCTCTGCCCTTTTCTTGGTTGCTGTTATGAACAAACAAACAGAGTATTCCAGGGTCTCTTTCCAAGAGACGACAAGCAATATAAGTGATAAATATTACCATTCTGTAGAATATTCTTATATTTCACTTTTACTTGTTCCCATGTTCTAGTGGGTCCTGTTGTGGCTCTAATGTGAAAGGGGATATAATATAACATATTATAATATAATGTAATATAATATTGGATAATATGGTGTGATATGATAAATCTACCCTACCGCCTACTGGTGTTGGCCAGAGGGGCCGATGGCGCAATATGGCAGCCTGGCTTCTGCCAGTCTGCCCCAGGGCAGCTGTGGCTACAACCGTAGCTGCCTCCACCAGTGTGTGAATGTGAGAGTGAATGAATAGTGGCATTGTAAAGCGCTTTGGGTGCCTTGAAAAGCGCTATATAAATCCACTCCATTATTATTGTTATTATTGAATTACCTACGAGTTTGATTTGTCAGCAACTTTCTGCCAGCCCTCTCTCCTTGCTTTTGCAGCCTTTGCAGTGTTCCCTTGCGTTTTAATTAAACTCTGAAACTCCTGAAATCCCTCACTCAAGAGTTCTTGCTCTGCTGCCGAAAAATACCGAGCGCGCTCCTTCGACATTTTCGCCGACCAATCAAAGGGTTGCCGATCAATGTTTCTACTATCGATGCGTAGCCCCTGTTGGGCCACCCAGTGATCTCACATTACTTTATCCAGCTATACTAATCGTCAACAACAGGTGTGTTCGGGGAACCGGAATAGCGAGCTCAGAGTTAGCGCGATGATTTGGTCTTGGATGTTTCATTTGATCTTGGATGTAGTAAGCGACGTACGAAGCACAGGGCCATGGTCAGGACAACCTGCTGAAGTTCAAACAACGCATCAGAACAAATGTGACATGGCTGCTGTTGAGGTTTTCACAGACTGCTGATCTATTAGGATTTTCAAAGAAAAACATCTCTAGGGTTTACAGAGATCACATGGTAAGGTCAGAATTTGTTGTAAACAACATAAGAGAATGGATCCATCCAAGCTGGTGATGTAATGGTGTGGGTGATATAACCTTGGCACTCTTTGGGCCACTTTGTACCAACTATGTATCATTTAAACACCACAGCTACCTGAGTATTGTTGCTAACCATGCCCATCCCTTAATGACTACAATGTGCCCATCTTCTGATTGCTGCTTTCAGCAGGATAACAGACCGTGTCACGAGGCTCAAATCATCAAACATGTCAATGAATTAACTGTACTCAAATGACATCAATGACAGTGACATCACAGTCACCAGGTCTCAATCCGAT